TTCTGAGTGGCCTTCAAGGAACTTCCCAGTCTGTCCCTTTGTTCCTGTGTCACTTCATTAGCAACAGTAACACTGATTTCAGGGAGTGGCCATAGCATCTTGGACCCACCACCTTTGGTCCTGTGATGGGGAGGTGGAGGGTAGTGGGAGCACATGGTAGAGCAAGCTGCTCCCCTCACAGGGGCTGGGAGCAGAGGAGGACAAAGAGACCCACCGTTCTCTGTGAGGGCACACCTCCTACCCCAATGACCTGAGAACTCTTCTTAGGCCCCAGCCCTTAGGCTTTCTTCTAGTAGTGCCAATATATGGTTGGACCTGGAATGTCCCCCCCACCCCCATTCCCAAGCTTGTGTGTTGAAAGAATGGTCCCCAATGCAGCATGGTTCAGAGGTGGGGCTTATAGGCAGTGATTGGATCCTGAGGACTCTGACCTCATCAGTGGGTTGATCCATTTGATGGATTAATTCATTAACAGGTAAATACACTGTGAGGAGGTGGGTCCTATTTGGAGGAAGTAGTTCTCTGGGTGCAAGCTCTGGAAGGGCTTATCTTTTCTCTTCCTCTGCTTCTCAGCTACCATGAGCTGAGCAGCTCTCCTCCGCCATGCCCTTCTGCTGTGATGTTTCTGCAGTGGAGTTGTCTGACTATGCACTCTTCTGAGTTGTTCTTGTTGGATATTGTGGTCACAGTGACGAAAAGATGACTAATACAGCCAAGCTAAATTAGAGCCTTAAAACGTGGACCTTAGAAGTACATTCAAGATCCAAAACAAAGCACCTGTACTTCAGATCTGAGCTCTGTGTGACCTCGGGGTAGCTCTGTTTACCTGTCTGTCCTTGTTTCTAAAATACAGAAAAGACTGTCTGCCTTGTAGGCTTGTGTTGAATACTGGAGATAGTAAGTAAATACAGGTCTCCTGTGGTAGTTGTTCTGGAGCCTGTATATATGTTCTGTCAGTGGTTTCCCCAACTCCTCATTCCTGTGTGTCCTGAAAAGATCTCTGCTCATGATCATTGTGACAGCACAGTCATTTCTTTCTTTTTTATAAGATGTTTCTACTAGAGTCAATAGTATTAATTTGTCCAAACGAAAGATAAAAGGAACTCTTATGACATTTCCAGGTTTTATTTTAGAACCTGTCTTATTGACAACTCTTCCTTTGGCAATCTGCTATCTTCTGACATATTAGCTATTTGTAATAACAAGCCAACAGTCCCTTATTTCTGTCAAGCTCTTGGTTAGGGGCCACCTGGTCCTCAAAATTTATTTGTATCTAATTTGTTGATTAAATGTAAAATATTCAGTGAATTTACTGCAGTTTGAACTAATAACTCTGATCAGTCTCTTTTAAAAGGCAGATTGGCAGTACAGTTCAGAGAGCTTTCTAGTGCAGTTTTGATGGCTCTTCTGGACTTAGGTTTTTGTTCACCATGCATGCTTTTTATTCATGAATCTTTGAGCTCTTTGCTTCCATCTGACACCATGTGTTTGAGGTTGCATTTTATGAATGCGAATCCTTGCACATGATTACTGAATGATTTAGGTTTTACTTCTGCTTCATGTGTTCTTAAAAATACCAGCTGCTCCTTAGTTGAAAACGTAATTTAATTTGAGTGACACATGAGTTTATAGTTCCTAAACATGAATATATTTTCCTTGTTTGTATTCATAAGCCTGTTGGTCCATATGTTAATGTGTTCCTTGATTTAGTTTTATTTCTTTATTTTAAAAAATCAATAACAACAACAACAAAAACCTTGGGAAAATCATGCTTGTTAAATTTTTGGAACATGCTTCTATTATTTTGGAGTTCACATTTAAAGCTTACAAAATTCTTTCCGTTAGTGATATGATTTTATATTGTATTTATGTAAACAGTTACATTTTGGAGTGAGAGGGGACATTCCTCCTTGGTTGCTTGGCATAGTTTTAAGAACCTTGTGGTGAGACTTGGTCACACATGCAGCATGTTAGGCATCCATTCTCGCGCCCTGGTGGATCTTGATAATTTGGGAGTGAGAAAGCATCCTACAGAATTGATGATGCTTTGTCTCTTCTCACCAGAGACTTCATACTCTGACCTCTACAGGAGATGCAGGACCTTCTGCAGACCTGTTTTGGATAGGGGATGGTACAGGTATACATAAATACAATGCATGACCCTGTGTGAGGTCTTGAAAACAGCATAAGTACTCCTGGGTGGGGGGACCATGAATGTGGGTGACACAGCATGTGCACATGGAATAGGACAGCGGCTTCATCGAAGTGCCGGTCCTGAAGGCCTGATAGGCATCCAGAAGACAAAGGCTGCTCCAAGCAGAGACAGAAGTCTGAACAAACCCTTAGAAACTAGAGCGCACCGTCTGCTGGCCTGGTCCTGTGCTCTGCCTGGCACACGCTCTGCCTGCTTGGTATGGACACTCAGCGGACACTCCAGAATTGCACTGCAGGGTTGCTCTTTACTGTCGTTCCTGAGACCACACACTGTGTCTTTACATGGTACACCTTTGCTCTCATGTATGTACTTCGGCAGAGGAAAGAAAGTTAAATTGTGTGATTTCAGTTATTATATGTGTTAGCTTTAAAAGGAGATTTAAAACTTCAGCTTTTGATATTGTTCTAATTATTTCTCAAATTGTATCTGTGGCAAAAGGCCCTTTTGAATGTGGGAAGAAACATTTCTCCTCAATTACATGGTTAGATTTTTGGAAATTGTTAAAACGGGCATTAAAACATCAGAAAAGCTCATAGGAACCCCAACCAGGCACAAGTAAAAGCTAAGTGAAGTCTTCACTGCTATGGTAAAGTTAATATATATGGTAAATAGGGGTTAACAATTAGAATATCTGTAACAGAGATTTTATTTTCTCTTTTTAGAATGTGGTATTGAAGAGGCTATGGGGAGTGACATTTTATCAATTTGAATTGAATAATAAAATCCACCTAAAAAAACATGCACTTATCTGCAGAAAATAGTGAACTTATGCTCTTGATTATTGACATTCTCTTGCATGACTATACAACACTCCTTGTGACAGTTTTATTCTTTTCTTTATTTCTGGCTGTTATTCCTAATAGGAGTAAGTCCTGCATCAACAAACTAATTATTTTAGTTTTTAAAGATCTCTTTATGCCCAATTTTATCACTTAGGTTTGTGATGTTATATTGTGAGCTGTCAGTTTGAACAAAAAATTTATTCATTGACTTATTCAACTGGTATTTATATAGTGAGTTCCTCCTCTGTAGGCTACTTCTTAGGTGCTGTGGAGGCTGTAAAGCTGAGCGAAATATTAATTTCGTGAGATATTAATATTTCCTAGAGATTCAGTTATTTTCAGGAAAGGGATAAAATTATTCTGATTTGTCCACACTGCTCTCTTTCAAAAATCCAACTTGCATTGGTGGGGTCGTTCCAGAGAAGGCAAGGGTACTGCAGGAGAGAGTTTTACCTCTGTGAAGTCCGCTTGCCAGCGGGCCTGAGGACAGGACCTCATTTCTTGCCTACGCTTCAGAACCCGGGTCTGTCAGAATAATGACACATCCTGTTACTCTTGGGAACTTGACTCCTTGGAACTTGATTTAGATTTTGTTTTTATTCAATCGTAATAGAATTTTGAATAATTTTAATGTTGATAACTAAGGTGGAACTAATATTAGACATGGAAGTTCTTTTTAAAAATTAATTTGCCTGTTTCTTAAAAACACAAGTACACAGAAAACATTTTGAGAGACACATTACTATGTAACAACCATTTAAAGTGATATATTTCAAGAGTTCCTATTAAGTGTTTAATAACTATACATTAAGTTATTATATTATACATAAGTGTTTATGGTTTTGTTCTAGTTTTATATACAACTATGTTTTAAAACATGTATTCAAAAAATCTCCAAAAGCATTTCAAGTACTTAAGATATATACATTTGTGTTTATGTGTGTTTATTTAACCAATATGGACATAATGATCTGATCCTTATTTTTTACCACTAGCCTAAGGGTCATACAATAAGTAGTTTAGCTGTGGATTCATTTTTATTTGTAACAGATTATTGTTTTACAAGTGAAATGTAACAGTATGTTTGGATACTTTATCCAAAGAAGAAGAAGAAGAAGAAGAAGATTCTGCAGTGATATTCTTAAGGGGCAAAGGTTACTATTTTGGAAGATAGCTTTAAGAAAGATTTAATAGCTATATAGAAGCAGTAAGTAACTTAAGACTGGAGGTAATGTTAATTTTTCAAAGCTTTCAAAAGGAATTTGAAGTAATATTGTTGATGATTAAGCTAATGGTAAGAAATTGATTTTATTTGACTCATTTCTGTGTGTTAGGCATGGTAGTAATTAAGCATTTTTAAAGTATTATTTTATGAATGAAAAAGACATTGCCATTCCAATTTTTTTCTTCTTTTTTTTTTTCTAAAGAGAGAGAGTGAGAGAGAGAGAAAATTTTTTAATATTTATTTTTAGTTTTCGGTGGACACAACATCTTTATTTTATTTTTATGTGGTACTGAGGATCGAACCCAGTGACCCACGCATGCCAGGCAAGCGTGGTACCACTTGAGCCACATCCCCAGCCCCATTCCAATCTTAAAGATTAGTAAACTGAAGATTAAAAAAAAAAATCAAACATAATTTCCCTGACTTTATTCTACTAATAAGTGGAGGAGACAGGATTTGAAAGCCCACAGTCTGATGATACCTAAGCCCTAGCATCAGTCTCTGTTTCAGAACTACATGTTTACTGCTTCAGATCCATTTAGCAATTGAGCTTGTATCCCTATCCTTTATTTGCTTCTGATTTCACTTACAACCATCAGGAATATACCTTAAGAAGTCCTTGGATATCAATTGTAGCATCTGTTATCTTCAAGAACACCTGAGATTTATTCCTACACGTGTATATAATTTAATTCTAGATATATAATAGAGATTTATTAATATTTATTGAAGTTGAGGGACATTCCACCTCATCACACCAGTGTTTTCTGACTTGCAGGTGTTAAATGCACAAAGAGCAGGATACAAAGCAGCGATAGTCCACAATGTTGATTCTGATGACCTCATTAGCATGGGATCCAACGACAGTAAGTACAGGTATCACTTTTCTTCTCTCCTGTTTGACAGAGCATTCAAAGCTAAAAAGTAACTGGATTTTCCTTCTCTAATTTTTTGTTTAAACATCAAAGTTTCTTCTCTATCATAATTCCCAGTTCTAGCCCTCTTCAGATAATCTTATTCACAATAGAAGTGGAATTTACTTGTTCTTGTCTGAGTGTGTTAAATTTTTTTAAGCCTGAGTTTTTAATCTATTGGTGTTTTGTTGAAAACTGAAGGAAAACTGAAGCCTTAAATAGAGATTAAAATGTTCAGTTAAGAATGCTATAGGAAATTTTTTGTGATTTATTTGTAGATTCACAACATTAAATTTTAGAATACACAGATACTATAAGTATCTCCTAATTTGGTGGAAGTTCAGAGCCCCATAAATGTACTTTCTTATTAGTTGTCATTCTTGACTTTACATTGTATGTTTATGTTTTTCATTTGAAATGGGAATATCTTTTCTTAGCCTTGGTGGACCTTGGCTTATAGGGAAAATGAGCCAACTTCAGTTACAATGGCTTTATTCAGATGGTGATTTTTAAGCTGCAGGCTTCACTTAGTGTAGTTTCTGTAAAACAGAACACTGTAGGTTTTATCAAAACCTAATTGCTACTAAGATGTCACTGCCAACATTCATGATTAGAAGATCTTTGTTTCTCCTTTTTCAGTACATAGCTCTCATATCTCTTGCTACTAAATTCCATCAATTTGTCTGTATAAAGTAGAACTTGGAGCAAAGTGTGGCCACAAAGCCATGACCTAGTGGTGCATCAGAACATACTTAGGATTCTAAATAACCGTGTTCTCAGCAGTACATATTTTATATTCTTTTGACCCACACATCTTTTTATCTCTTATGTAGTGCTTTTTTGGTTGTGTCATTGGTCATTGTCCTTCTTACCCCTAACATGGTGAGGTAAAATTATAATATCTAAAATTTAATGAGCTCCTTAGTTGATTTCTTTATATTTTAAATTATCATTTTAATCTTCTAGGTAATTAATCTTTATGATTGTAGAATAAATGAAGAATCCTAAGCTTTTCTAGCATTTAGGAACAGATCAATAACCACTGTGTTACAGGACTTACTAGATGAAGGGAGTTTACTTATCAAATGACTACTGTTGCTACTACAGAGTCTACTAAGTAAAATTTATTTTAACTGATACACAAAACCATAAAATTTGTATATATCAATTGAATACCTTGTAATGTCCAATACAGGTATGTTGCATATGTTTAATGGGTTAAACATTTGTCTTCTCAAACATTTATTCATTCTTTGTAGTGAAAAGTTTCAAAATCAGCCACCTTTCTGTACAAGAGCACCACAGAGCTTCTTGCTCCTGAGTAACTCAGTACTTTGATCACATTTTCCCCATACACTGTCCCATTCTCTGATAGCCCAGCTGTTCTGAGATGAACTTTGTGGATTGCATGTGTGAGTGGGATCATGGGATACCATCCTTCTGTGCCTGGGTTACGTCACTTAGCACAGTGACTCCACTTCCATCCGTGTTGCCACAAACGGTAGGGTTTCATTTGTGCCATGTTGTCCATTCCTCAGTTGATGGATGCTTAGGTTGTACCTATTGCAAATAGAGCTGCAGTGAACGTGGCGTGCAGATGTCTCTTCAAGGTGCCGATTTCTTTTCCTTTGGGCCGATGCCCAGTAGTGGGACTGCTGGGTCAGATGGTAGTCCTGTCTTAACTTTTCGAGGAAGCTCCATGCTGTTTTCCACAGTGACAGTGCTAATGTACATTCCCTCCAGCAGTGTGCAAGGTGCCTGTTCTCCACATCTTCGCCAGCACTGGCTGTCTTTAGTTTGTTTGGTGTTTGCCTCTCTTACTAGGGTGAGTTGATATCTTTTACTAGGGTGACTTTGATTTGCCTTTCCCCAGTAATTAGTCATGTTGAGCCTTTTTCGTGTGTGAGTTGGCCATTTTTATGTCTTCTTTTGAAAAATGTGCATTTAGATCTATTGCCCATTTTTCAGAATTAGGATGTATTTTGTTGTTAAATTTTTGATATTCTTTATATATTTGGGATATCAACTATTTGTCAGTTGTATAGTTTGCAAATATTTTCTCCCATTCTGTAGGTTGTATCTTCACTCTGTTGAGTTTCCTTCACTGTACAGAATGTACTGCAGACTTGACACACTCCTTTAGACGCCTCCCTTAAAAATATCATCTCAGTTGATACATCATAGGTCAGTAACTTTGCCATCTATGTACATTATGGAAAAGTGACACACATATTCTGGCCAGATTCAAATTCCAGCTTCGCTCAAATTAGCTGTATAACTCTAAGCATGTTACCCACTCTTTGTGTATTTGCTAAAGGCCTGAGCCCAGCTTTTGTTAGCCCTCTAGATCTTCTCAAGGGCTCAATATTTTCTAGGTTGAACAACTGATTATTTGTGGCCTGTTTGCTCTTTCGGCGTATATTCAATAAAAATTGTGCAAGCTGCAAGTGTCAATTCCCTTTAGAAACTGTTTTGTGTTTGTAATACCATAAAACCTTTTGGTTACAATCGTCATTTCCTAAGGAGGATGTGCTAAATATTAAAAGTAGCAGGTAACTATATCATCCTGCTGTTGCCATGGAAATGTTCCAATTAATTTATTTCAAACTAACGTATTTCAAAAATTGCTCTGGATTTTGGTTCTTTGTTGCCTGGGTTGCTTTTTTGTGATTTTTTTTTGTTCACTCTCTCTATGTTTGTATGTGTGTGTGTGTGTGGGGGGGTGGGTGTTTAAACATTTCGTATATCCAAAGACAAGTGTTGTGAAGATCTTTACCATTTTCAACTTTGCTGTTTCTTGGTAGAGGAAAGAAAGTATGGATGTATTAGAAGGAACCCGACTGTACTCCTTTTCAGGACTTAGTCCCTACCTACAAGGAGTATTGGTGTTTTTCTGAGTTAAGATTCTAATGTCTGGAAACAAAAGGAAGTTTTTAGTAAAAGCTCCTTTTGCCACATATCATGCAAAAAATACACTCACTTTTATATCATCCACATGTAAATGGGTTGAGTCAATGAGCTGGTAGCATTCTTTATCTTCAGGAGGCAGCATGTATGGGAAGAACAACTTCAGGACCAGGACGTGGATTTGTTCCAGGGGAGTCAGTAGCTGGACAGCCATTACTGCCATCTGTAAAAGTGCAGATCCTCATAGTTCTGTCTGACCTGGATTGTGGAGACCATGTGAGAGAAGGTGTGCAGAGAACCCAGGCTGTGGTGGAGAGGGAGGAGCCAGGAGGAGCTGTCCAAGTGCAGGCTGTGTGGGTTCCCAGCTGTGCAACCAGGGCAGGTTATCAGTAGCTCTAGGTTTGCTCTTTCTCCTTTTTATCTTGCTTTCTTCCTTCCGCAAATATTTTTTGATAGTTTGCTTTGCATCAAGCACTGTTTTAAGTACTATAATGGCAGCAAAAGGTACAAGGCCCTGCTTTGTACCTTTCATTGAGGCAGCAGAGTGCAGATGTTACAAGTACTTTGGGAAACTGCCTGCCAGGGTTGAATCCAGCTTAGCTACCTATGGCTCTGTGACCTAGTATTTGTGTACACATTATCCCACATCTCTGTGTCTCGGTTTTCTCATTTGTGAAGTGGGGATGGTGATGATAGTTACCTTGTTGATCTGCTGTGAGGTTACCTGGTTTAGTCATCATTTAGTGCTTGTTTAGTTATCATTGCATTCTAGAGTGGGATAGAAGAAATGAAATTGTGATGAAATAGAAGTGCTATTATGTCAAGAAGTAATAAGTTCTGTGAAGAAAAATCTCTCGGGTAAGGGGATGTGAGTGGCAGGGAGAAGGAAGGGTGGGTATTTTAGATAGGGTGTCAGAGGCTTCTTACAAGACACTGAGATTTGAGCATAAGTCTAAAGTGGGAGGTTGCATCCTGTAGATCTCTAAGGAGTGTTCTAGGAAGAGGGAGCCCCCTGTGCAAGGCTCTGAAACAAGACATGCTTGGAGCTTCCCAAGGTGTTCCAGTGGCAGAGTGGGAAAGGGGGACGGAGGCCTTCAGTGACATGGGAACCAGAGGCTGTGTCATGCTGAAACTTGTAGTCATGCTCAATGCTCAGTAGGTTGGTTTTTTTTTTGTTTGTTTGTTTTTTTAAGAGAGAGAGAAAGAGAGAATTTTTTAATATTCATTTTTTTAGTTTTCGGTGGACATAACATCTTTATTTTATTTTAATGTTGTGCTGAGGATCGAACCCAGCGCCCCATGTATGCCAGGCGAGTGCGCTACCGCTTGAGCCACATCCCCAGCCCCTCAGTAGGTTTTAAACAGAGTTTAAACATACTTAGAAGGATTGCTTTGGCTGTGCTGTGGAGAGTAGACTGGAAGTGACAGGTGGCAGGAGCACAAGAGGCAGAGCCTTGAGGTAGCCCGTGCAGCAGCCGGGTGAAGAGTGCAGGTGTCTGGCAGTCAGACTGTGAGAAGCAGGAGAATTCTGGGTCTGTTTTGAAGTTGACAGAATTTGATGTCTGGAGCCAAGGACAGGGAAGTGTCAAGGATAGCCTGAGAAACACAGGCCATGCCATTTACAGAGGTGACTGAGGGAAAAGGGACACTCAGGGCTCTGTCTGAGACACCTGTTAGTTGATCAGGTGGAGACACCAGACAGACAGCTAGATACAGGAGTCTGGAGGGGTTGGAGCTGGCCGTTCAGGTTACAGTTGATCTATGATATGATAGCACTTTTGGCAGTATGTGTTTCACAGAGTTGTTTTATGTATGAAAAATATTCAGTGATTTTTAAATTTTTTTTTTATGAACTAGAACATTTTCTGTGTTCAATAAATCAATGAATAAATAATGCTATGGTCTCCAAGGCGCTTTTCTCTTTCTTCATCTTTGTCTTCTCCTAACATGACAGTCTCTACATCTCTTTAGATACCATAATTCAGAAGTTGTGTTATTTTCAGTCATTATAGGTTGATACTTACAAGCCCAAAGTTTCTATTTGAGTTTGTCAGAGTATCTTCATGAAAGAACAAAACATTTATAAAGGTACATAATTCCAAGTTTTAATTGTCAAATAAAATAAATTTTGAGGGCTGGGGATGTGGCTCAAGCGGTAGCACGCTTGCCTGGCGTGCGTGCGGCCCGGGTTCGATCCTCAGCACCACGTACAAACAAAGATGTTGTGTCTGCCAAAAACTAAAAAATAAATATTAAAATTCTCAAAAAAAAAAAAAATTTGAACTGATACATGGTAGAGTAAAATTTATTTTACTTGACAATTAAAACTTGGAATTATATACCTTTATAAATGATATATGATAGAGAAAAATTTCCTAGCAAGATAGAAAATATTTTCCTAAAATATAGATGGTCCTGGGATAGTACCTCTGCTGCTATTTAAAACCATGAGGTAGGTGCATGTTCACATATGACAGGTTATCTGACGAGTATCACTGAGTGGGAAGAAAGCTCTTACTTTTTTCTATTTTTTATACCATTAATAAAGCAATTTATTCGTTCTGTTGATATAAAAATAGTGATTAAGTATTCCTTGATAGCCATTTGGATTCCTGCCTTCCTTGGAATTACATGCTTGATGTGCTTGTGTGTGTGTGTGTGTGTATGTGTATGTGTGTATGTGTGTGGGGGAGGGTAAGAATGTGTGGGAATGAACATGTATGTGTGAGTAAAATAATAGGGAAGTGAAAAAAGTACTCTGATGGATACCAGGATTTTAAAAATTTATAACGAGCACACACACACACACACATACACACACACACAAACAGGTCAGTGGTTGCTGAAGTCAGGGGAAAGAATTGACTGTAAAAAGGGCTGAGGGAATTTGGGGAGCTGATGATCGTTCTGTACCTTAGTTGTGGTTAAATAATTAAATGTTATTGTCATAACTCAGAACTGTTGGTTACTTCTGGTAAAATATGCACCAAAGAGGGAAGTGTTGTGGTTGTGTTTTTCTTGTTTTCTCCCACACTTTTTAAGTGGATAATGAATATGCATTGTTTTTTAAAATTAGAAGAAAGTTATTTTGAAAATGAATAGCAAAAGAAAACAAATGGCCTTTCTCTAAGGCCAAGTCCATTAAATTAACTCACAGCTAATAATAGTCAGTCTCTTCTGTTGGTAACAGTAAGATTGTTTTTCTTTCTGTTCCTGAGTAATGGGTAATTTTGGACAAAATTCTTTTTTTTGGGTGGCATTTGGTTTTGGTTTTGAACATAGTTGTAAGAATCAGATGTCTTGAGATTCCAGTCTAAACAGAGATTTACTGTGAACTCCCGGCTTAGGAGGAAGTAGAGGCTCACCCAGCCCTTGCATCCCTCACTCTGTGTCCAGCCTGCCAGCCTTTGGCTCTGAACCGCCAGGGTGTATGGTGCTGGGGGCTGTGGTGGAGCATTCCTACTCTCACCTTGTACCTCTTCTGGAAATGGGTATGTAAAAGAAAACTTTTCTCTTCTTTACTTAGGAATTAAATTATTTCTTCCTCATGTTTCTTCTCTATCAGTTCGAGTTATATCTAAAGTGGAATAAATCAAATAGAAATATTAAAGATAAAACATTGTGTCTCCCAGCAGCTTGGGAGGCTGAGGCAGGAGGATCATGAATTCAAAGTGAGGCGCTAAGCAACTCAGTGAGACCCTGTCTCTAAATAAAATACAGAATAGGGCTGAGGATGTGGCTCAGTGGTGGAGAGCCCCTGAGTTCAATCCCAGATATGCCCCTCCCCCCCAAAAAATTATGTGTCAGTCTTCTGGGGCTATTAATAGAATTAAGTGAGGAAGCAAAATACTTGTTTTTTAATTGTAAATGTACCATATTTCTAAACCACTTGGATAATGAGGGGAAATTTACAGAGTGGAAAATCAAACATAGACAGTTAAGTTGGTTATAATTGTTTCCAGTTTCATTTGCTGCTATTATGAGGAAAGTTAAGTTGATTGTGTACTAAGAATGGGTTTTTACCAATCATTTTATTGTTCTTATATACAGTTGATGTGTTAAAGAAAATTGACATTCCATCTGTATTTATTGGTGAATCATCAGCCAGTTCCCTGAAAGATGAATTCACATATGAAAAAGGGTAAGTAGTGAATATCAAAAATAATTATAATCATAAAACTTAAAATTCTTCTCCTCCTTCTTTTTCTTCTCTCTCTTTCTCTGTGTATTTTTCCTGGTGCTGGTGATTGAACCTGGGATACTTTACCACTGAGCTACACCCCCAGCGCTTTATTTATTTTGTGACAGGCTGGCCTTGAACTTGCAATCCTCCTTCCCCAACCTCCCAAGTCTCTGGGATTATAGACTGTGCCACCGCACCTGGCTAAATTCTTCCTTATTTAGGGTGGAATTATATAATGTTCATTGTAATCAAGATTATGTTTTAGTATGAACTCTGTTGGCTGAATTTTCTCTCTTTAAGTCATGATTTTAAGACTGAATTGTACTGTTTCTTCTGTGTATGATTATATATTAAAGTATATTCATGCTAGAGAGTTGGTAATGTTGGCACCAATGTTGCTAACAAGATATATGTGTGTATGTGTGTGTGTGTGTGTGTGTGTGTGTATGTTTGTATGTATGTATGTATGTATGTTATATGATTATAAAAGGGGATAGATTGGCTTACATCACCAGAAGCTGGATGGTTCTAAGGTGGCTATTTGTGAGCTGCAGAGCTGGGGGAACAAGTAGCTACTCAGTCCAAGAAGCTGGAGCCTCAGAACACCAGGTATCCTTGATGCCACCCCAGTGCAGGCCTGAAGGCTCGGAATCTTCCTGGAGAGTCACTGGGAGAGTCTTCTTTGGAAGAGTGAAGGAGCTGGTGTCTGATGTTCCTAGGCAATGACAGCAGCAATCAAGAACCTGCTCAAGAAGAACAGAGCTTGCATCTGCTGCTGCTTCCTTATTCTTCCAACTTGTATTCCATCCAAGCCTCAACCTATTGCATGGTTATGTCCACACTTAGGAAGGGTCTCCAGTTCATTCCTAGGAACACCCTCATTGAGACCACCAGAAGCCTCTTAATCTCCAGCATATCTTAATCCAATCAAGTTGAAAATGCAGATTAGCCATCACATGTATCTTAAAGAGTCTTTTTGTTTCTGATTATAAAATCATACCTTTTACATTAAAAAGTAATACATACATGCTGGTAAAATCTGCAAAACTTCAGAAATGGAAAATATTTGAAATAAAGTTCCCCATGATGCTGTTCAACAGCAGCTATTACAAGCTTTTAGTTTTCCTTTGTTTGATTACTCATGGTAATTAATGATAATGTGCTCATAAAATGGAACCATACAATACATAATATTTGTACTTTATTTAGTTGATATTCTTTTTATGTTGAGACAAGTCCACAAGACCTTTTATCCCATCTCTTGGAGGGAATATATTGAGGGATTGGAAAATTTTTGGATTTTTAAAAGTTTAATCTTCCAAATAGGACTTGAGGCAACACCTGTAATTGAACAAGTTAATGTAACTGCAGTGGATTTATCTTTTCCTGTCAGTTCATTGCAAGTTGACTAGAAAATTGCAAACATCTAAATAAACATCTAGATAAACACAGGGTATTGAACGTAAGCAAATATTATATTTTAATGCTTTTTAGACTTGTGCATATCTGTGTGCCCTTTCCAACTGTCTGTCCACCTGTGTTTCTAACCTTTTATCCATTCTCTTGTTTTCCCGTAACAAAGCTAGGGGAAAATATATTAATATATTTAATATTTAATACATAGATGTAATTGTATGTATTGATGTACTTTTTTGCAGTGCTGAATATATGTGTTTCTAAAAGATACAATAAATCCTGAAGGGATACTATTGCTTCTAATTTAAATTTAGGACTTCAAAATTTACTTCATTTATTTTAAATCTGTTTTATTTTTCTAAGTTTAAAGACACAAACATAATAATTATTATTAGTTTTAATTACACAATATAGACAGAGTCAGGAAAATAGTATCAGTACTATTGCCAACATTTTTTTGGGTGTGGGTACCAGGGATTGAACTGAAGAGCACTTGACCACTGAGCCACATCCCCAGCCCTATTTTGTACTTTATTCAGAGACAGGGTCTCACTGAGTTGCTTAGGGCCTTGCTTTTGCTGAGGATGGCTTTGAACTTTCGATCCTCCTGCCTAATTCCTCCCAGGCTGCTGGGATTATAGGCGTGCGCCTTTGTGCCCAGTTTATTGCCAACATTTTTAAAAGCAATTCTTCCCCTGCTTAGAGTATATCATAGTAGATATTAAAGTTAAATTATTTGCTGTAAAGACGTGGAATACTCTTCTCTATGTTGTTGTTTACAATTGGAAATACAAGTCTGTTTGATTCATTCCTTTCAGAGTATGGAGAGTGCTCCTCCTCTTGCTAATCACAATTTTTTATTGTTAAGTATAAAGTCAAAACAATAAAAATAAAGTATATTCAAATAAGTCCAGGTTGTATTCTATTCTTGTCCATCTTGTATTCTATTCTTGTCCATCTTGATCTGATCCTTGCCTTATAATAGTAACATTTTTTTTCAAAAAGATCATTTATTATTTAATTCACTAAATTAAAGAATCATAGGCAAATTATATACCTTTTCTCCCTTATCTTAAGCTCTGAGTGATGAACTGAACTCCTCTTCCTGCGTTTGGCTTAACAGTGTACCCAGGAGATCATACCAGAGTAGACATATACTCGTCACACCTTCTTACAGCTGCATAGAACTCTATTCTTTGATTATGTTGGTTCACTTAACCAGTCCCCTGCTGTTGGACATTTGAATTGTTCACATCTTTTGCTGTTGTACTGGTGCTTTAGTGAGTAATCTTGTAGAGAAGTCCTTTAGTGTTTTTGTCGGTATACTTCTGGAATAGATTCCTGTAAGTGGTGTTGCAGTTCAGAGGTTAAATGTATGTACTCTTTCCTGGCTATTGTCTTAATTCCTTTCACAAGGGTTGTGTCAGTTAATGTGTGATAGTACCTGCTTTCCCACAGCCTCACCAACAAATTTTGTTGTCAGATTTTTGAATTTTTGCTAATCTGATAGGAGAGTAATGGCATCTTGCTGTAGTGTTAATGTGTATTTCTCTTATTACGAACAAATTCAAGCATATTTTTCTTATGCTTAGCTATTTGCATTTTCTATTAACTCTTTAACCCATTTTTTTCCCTGTTAGGTTGTTGGTCATTTTCTTTGTTTAAGTATGTTAGAAATTTGTGATATGCTTCAAAAAATTTTTTGTGTTTTGACATTTTCATTTTATTTATGAGTTGGTTTTTAAAAATGTAATCACTTAGCATGATGTTTTCAAGGTTCATCATTTCATTGTATGAATTGGTATTTTATTTCTTTTTTTGTTTGTTTGTTTCTGAATGATATTCCCTTATATGGATATGCCACATTATATTTATTAGTTGATGGACATTTAGCTTGTTTCCAAAATATTTTGGCTATTATGAATAATGTGAGCATTTACATATAAGTTTTTACATGTATGTGTGTTTCCATTTCTCTTGGGTGTATATTTAGAGTGGAATTGCTGTTTACATAGTAACTTTATGTCTGATATTTTGGGCAATTGCTAGACTCTTTTCCAAAGGGCCTGCACCATTTTATAACCCCACCAGCCAAATGTGGAGGTTCTAATTTCTCCCAAAGAAATTTAGTAACCAACTTTTCTAGGTCTAGAAAAAACTGATATTTTTATCATTATTACTATACTTATAAATTAATTTAGGGAAAATTGAAATTTTTAGGATGCTAAGTTTCCTTTTTCAAGGATGTGATGTATCTTTCCTTCTATTTATTCAATTAGTAATCTTGAGTTTGTTTTTGGTGGTTTTTTTTTTAGTCCAAAATCTATATGAGAAACACATTCCTTGTGAAATTTATGGCTAGGTATTGTATTGTTTGCTATCATAAGTAGGGTCTTCTCTTTGTTTACATCTGCCACTTGTTTTTTTATTTGTACGTGTGAAAGCTCTTTTTATGTGTTGATATAATTATATGCAATTGGACTGGATTCTCTTATTGTTGTGAAGTTTCCCATTACAAATAGAAATAGTCTTATCTTTTGCTTTGTAATTTTTATACTTCTAATTGTTCTCTCTTATCCAATTGCCTTGGTAATAACTTCAGCATCACATAAATAATAGTGGAGATAGTGGCCATCTTCCTCTTGTGTCTCACTTTTGTGAGAATTCTTATTTATTCTTTAAGATTCTTTTTATAATATTAAGAAAGCATGTATCAGTTCCTGTTGTGTTGCATTTTATTCTTTTTAGCAGTTTTCCAGTCTTTTAACTACTGTTAAAAAACAGCAGTCCAGGACTGGGTTTGAGGTCCAGAGGTAAATCACTCACCTAGCATGCCTGAAGCACTAGGTTTATCCTTAGCCCCACATAAAATAAAATAACGATATTGTTATAGGTGGACACCTATAACTGAAAAATAAATACTATGCTAAAAAAACCACAGCAGCCCAATAGTCCTTTATTCAGATCAATATTAATTCACTTACCCTGTAAAGCCACGAGATAAGCCTGGCTTATCATCCTGACTTCCATCACTTCTTAACCTGTTGCCTTCAACAAAAATTTATCATCTCTGGGCCTTAGCTTCCCTCCTCTTTAAACATGGGAACAACAATAATAGAATTTATATATACAGCATTTAAATTCTTTGAAGAATATCTAGTATGTAGTAAATTCTTCATAGGTGTTCCTTCTACAAGTAAATAACGTGCACTAAACAGAGTGCTGGGAGATTTTTGACCATACATTATGTGTAGTTGTACAAGCTGCTTCTTTAGCAAAAGTACCTGCACATTACTAAGGATAAATTGTTGAAAATTTCACTGTAACAACTGTCACATGGCCCTCCCCAAAAGATAGTTATTGGTCTTTTTAGTTAACTGCCAATCTGATAAGAAAACGCATTGATGACATTAATACTTATTTATTCATAGGGAACCTTTTTGCAAACTGGTGTCCTTTGTGTACTTTGGTCTTTTAAAACTTTAATTCTACAAGCATTTTGTAAATTTGTACCTACAAAGGTAAATAACTAGGTGGTATACAGTTTTCAGCGTTGCAGGTGGGGAAGGAGTGTCATTGTTCATAGTTGTAGGATATGGGGGGTCACTTGGTAGCTCTCAGAAAGTCAGTCTTTTTTTTTTTTAATTTGTTTTAATTAGTTACACATGACAATACAATTACCTTGACATATCATACATTTGAATCAGATGGGATATAATTTCTCATTTTTCTGAGTATACAGGTTGCAGAATCATATTGGTCATGCAGTCTTAATGGACTCGCTTTCTCTTCTGAAAATGTGGCGTGGGAGGAAAAAACTTGCACTTCCCTCCGCCTTCAGCTTTCTGTCTTCTCAAGGCTGTGCTTTTTTTTCTGTCCCATCCCTATCCCTGGGCATAGAGACTGTGTCATCGTCAGTATTCAGTAAATGTGGGTGAAATTAAACTGTAGGGAACATAGGATGTTGGGTGAGGCAGCTGCCAGCTTTGTTTGAAAGGGGCAGCAGGTTCGAGATGGCAGTCAGCTGAGGCAGTGGTGGTGTGTGACCTGAGCACGGCTTGTCGCCTAGAATGTTGGTCTGTAGGCCCTAAGCTGGGTTGTACTTGTAAATCCACTGCAGCTTGGTGTTTTGGGTGGCAGGGGTTGGGTGTCAGAACAGACAAGGCAAGGCCTCCTGTGAACAGCCCGGTGGGGAGATACTGTTAAGAAGCTTAGGCCGCAGCACTGGTTTGAAGTGAACCTGGGAACACATGGAGAGGAAAATAAGGCCTTATTTCCTGGGTCACCTGGGACTCCGCTTCAGTAATGACTATCAGCTGCAGAGCTCATGGGGTATGCTATCCTCAGGAGTGGGTGGAGGCGGGTGCTAAGGTACTTACTAAAGCTATTTTAATACCTCCTTTTTCAAACACAGATTAGTCTGGGACCAGGACAGGGTGACTCTGCAGGCTCCACTGTGGGCGACCTGAGTACAGGAGGAAACAAACAGGGCCAGGGCACGGACGTGCTGTTGTTGCCCTCTGCCCTGTGTCCTCACCGCCACCATTAGCCATCCTCAAGGGATAAAAAAAGCAGTATCCTGCACGTGTGCTCAGCTCTCGATTCAAGGAGTCCCCCTTTATCATCATGGGCCATTTAAAATCGTCACGTTGTACCTTCACAGCAAACTAAAATGACTTGAAATACAGCAGGCAAGCATTAATAAAGTATGTAGAATGTCAGGTTTCATTTGATTTCATTTTTATAGTTACAAGCACACAGGAAGTCTCTACTGAAGTGGTTTGATTTCTCGTTCACTGGGACTGTTCTTTCAGTTTATTTCGTACCTAGCAGCTCGTTTATTTCTGAGCAACCCTGGGGCTTGTTTTATGGGACAGTGTTTATTTATCTTGTATAAACTTCATGTGTCTTAGGAGGTAAAAAACATAAAGAAGAAAAAAAAACAGAATATAAGAGGTGTAAGTGTTCTACTGCTAAAATATGAAGAAGCTACAGTCACTTAAATTGAGGCTGGGCATCAGACTAGTTTCCAAATCCCAGCGATGTTAATTTATAGCATGTAGGTGGGGTGAAGTGAGGAGGCTACAGAGGATTAGCATGTCATAGAAAGGCCCTTTGTATTTAGAAGTGATACCATTGGCTCATGGCAGTCTCAGAGAGTTTGTACCAAGAACAGGGACATTATTTACAGAGCTGGCCTCCTGCTGGAAGAGATACTATCAAATAGATAAGCTCAGGCCTGCTACACTGTACCTCTTTAACACTGACTGATTAAAGCTACCACCAAAAAAAAAATAAAGAAAAAAAAATGCATGTGAAATCCTTTGTTATCCTCATTCTGGTGGAAAGTGACTGAAGTTAAAAAAACAAATAAAGGAAAAAAGAAAACAAAACCCCACTTGTATTCAAGCAATCTTGGCAATTTGGGGAAGGTGCTTAAATTTTGGAGGAAAATTCTTGGTATTTGTTTGTTTTTGATGAAGTTCAATGGAACTCCTTGAATGTAAGTGTAATAAATAATAGCATAAATGGAAGTAGTTTGCTTTCATGATTTGTTTCTTAAGAACAGTAGAATCCTAAGTACCTCTTCCATCATGGGGGAAGGAATCCACCTGCTTTTATCTACCTTTATACCGTGAATTATTTTACCCTGAACCCTTGTATTATAAGTACCTGGCTTTATTACCTTAAAAAACAAAACAAAACACCCAGCAGTGAGTAGTGCATTAGCATTGCTTGTACCATCCTAGCCTGGTGCCAGTGGACCCATGCAGTAGCTACTAGTCGCATTGCTGCACATCACACAGACCCTTCCCTAGACTAAGAGATTTTTATGCAAAGTTTAGATGCCATGTAAAAATTGCTCATGTAACAAATAGTGTGACTATTCTCATCACAATTTTTATTCCATGGGTCCCTGTCAGTTTTTCTTTTCTTTTTTTTTTATTAGTTGTTCAAAACATTACATAGCTCTTTATATCATATTTCATACATTTGATTCAAGTGGGTTATGAACTCCCATTTTTCTAATAGTAATGTCACAATAGCTATTAACATGGTTGATAACCAAAGGGAGTAAGGTACGTAGCAGCCCTTACCTTCCACTTCCATGGCATACACATTTCTATGGTTTTTTTTTTCAGTTAAGTAGTGGAGAATAGAGTGGAGATGGCGATTCTTGTCAATTTCTTTTCTCACAGATGACAGGCACAGTGACGGTATCTGTGGGACCCAGGGCAACAGGTGCAAAGGAAATGTGTCTGGAGGAAGCAGTAATGTCTCTGTTTTCTACAGAAGGAAGTGATAAGCAGTAGTTTGGTTGAGGTGGGGGTTCTTGTTGACTTACTTCCTAAGGTACTACCATTGGTTTTTATGCTGATGATACATATAAAATATTACTTTTGCGTGGGCAATGAGATTGAGTAAGTAACATCTCTCCAGGACAGATATAGAAGCATTGATTGACTGATTTTATTTACCCAGTCCAGAACCTTCTTTTAAATATATAGGCAAATTATTTTGAAAAATATGGAAAGTAGATATAAAAAACATCTCTTAAATTATTGGGAATTCTTTATTAGAAAATGAGATGGACTGTAGCTCAGTGGTAGAGCCTCTAATGTATGAGGCACTGACTTCGATCCTCAGCACCACATAAAAAATAAATAAAGATATTGTGTCCATCTACAACTAAAAAAAAATTAATGAAAAAAAAAGAAAGAAAGAAAATGAGATGTGTAGCCAGGTGCCATGGCACACGCCTATCACCAACTTGGGAGGCTGAGGCAGGAGATAGCAAATTTGAGGCCAGCGTCAGCAACTCAGTGAGACTATGTCTCAAAAATAATAAGGATGGGGGATGTAGCCCAGTGATAAAGCACCCTGGGTTCAGTCCTAGAAGAAAATAGAAGATGTGTGTAGTGGATTAAATTATAATGTCTATGTGTCTTTTAAAAAATATTCTTACTTGATTTTGTTTAACCTCATAATTTGACAGTGCTTCCTCATAATCAGTGATTGTTCTTTGCTTTCTTCCAGGGGCCACATTATCCTGGTTCCAGAATTCAGCCTTCCTCTGGAATACTATTTAATCCCCTTCCTCATCATAGTGGGCATCTGTCTCATCTTGATAGTCATATTCATGGTAGGTGAACTAACTTAATAATTGTAAAATGTGGTACGAATACATCTAAAGCACATAGCGTTGGATGAGAGAAGCCTTACACTAAAGAGTAACTCCTACTACATGAGCCCCTGTGTACACAGTTCTGGAACACAGAGAGAACCCAGTGAAGACATCAGAACAGCGGCTGCCTGCGGGGATGGGGCCAGGGTGTGCTGAGGAGAGCGTCAGGGACTTTCAGGGGGGAGGGTCATGTTCTGTGTCTTGATAGAGATTTGGGTGGCACAGATGGGTGGCATTTGTCTGGATCCACCCACTCGAATCCTTAGCTTGTGCATTTCATTGTATGTAAATTTTCAAAAGAAAATGACGGAACTGTAAAAAAAAAACGTACTTAACGCTTAAGTAATGATGTATATGCTATAGTACTGGGGGAAGTATACTGTTGTCTGCAACTTACTTTGAAATGTATTGTAAAAAATTAAGAGGACTAAGGTAGGACATACCGATGGGGCGATAGAGGAACAGACGTGGTAAAGTGTAGCAAGACGTGCTAGGTACTGGGTGTCAGGTGTTCGTGATCAGATTCTTCACTTCCATTCATTTGAGAACTGTTGTGTTAAAATATAAAGGAAGCCTGAGGCTGGAGGAAAGCGGGGGCACATTGCTTCTCCAAAAGTAGGTCTGCACACTATCCTCCCCCACGGGGGGCTGCACAGGATGCCCTGCCTCTGTCCTCCTCACCCCCCTGGGTGTGCAGTGGAACTTCTGAGAGGCCGAGGGGGTGACACAGCACAGGAAGACAGCAGATGAGAATCTCTCTGTATTCTCTTCCCACGTGGTCAAAGAAATTCGCAAAAATATAAAGCAATACTACCCTTCTAAATTTTTTCTTATTTTTCATAAAGAATATTTATATTAACATCCAGTGAGTTTATTATCATATTGAAGTTATAGATTAAGTTAGAGATCAAATGCCATCTTTGAAATGTCTAATTTCCCTATGATATTGGGGTATTTTTTTCATTTATTTAGGTCCTTCACATCCATTAGTTTAGTTATTTTTTCCTGTAAATCTTTTGTCTTTTGTTAGACTTATTACATAAATGGTTTTTTGCTTATTACAAAAGATATTTTTGAATTTGCATTTCTAATTAGTTATTACTAGGATATAAGAACATTATTAGGTTTTTAAAATTAACTTTTGATTTTGAAATGTTAGGTTTACAGAAAGTTTCAAACAAGAGAATTCTATACATTGCTCATCTAGCTTCCCTCATTGTTGATATTCTACATTATTTGTCAAAACTAAGAAACTCACGTTGGTACATTTCTATTAACCAACTCCGTCCTTTGTTTGGATTCCACCAGCGTTTTCACTAATGTGCTGCTTCTGTTCCAGGACCCGGCCTGGTGTTCCACACAGTGTTTGTCACATCTCCCTGTGTCCTCTGACTGGCAGTTCTCAGTTTGTCCTTGTTTTTCATGTACTTGATTGTCTTTGAAGACTGTGATTAGACTGGGTTAAGTTTTTCAAAAGGAGTCTCAGCACAGAGGTGAAAGGTGTTATCTTAACCCTGGGTCAGTGGGTTCACGATATCCAGGTAACAGTCCTGACAACGTGACCCTTCATGTTGGATAAGGTAGCATTTGCCAAGTTTCTCCATTGTAAAGTCAATATTTTTCTTCTGCTCTCCCTTTCTTTAGAAATGAGGCACCACATCTAGCCTACTATAAGGGTGGGAGCAGGAATTGAGCACCACCTCTTGGAGGAGGAAGTATCTGATATGTTATTTGACATACTTCTGTAAGGAAGACTTTTTTCCTTTTAGCATTCGTTCATTCATTCCATCATTTATATTAGTATGCATCCAGACATATTTATTTTATGCTTTGTTATAATCTAGTACTACCTTATTTTTCTTGTTAAATGTGTTTGAGTTCTATATTCCTTTGACTTGACTCCCATCCTTTTGTTTTTTCAACCTTTTTTTATTAGTGCATCATAGTCATATATGACAGTGGGGTTCACTTTGACATTATCATGAATGCCCATGACATAAGTTACTCCATGTCAATCCCCAGAACTGCTCTCTTCCCTCTCCTCCTCCCTTCCCCTGACCTATTGGTCTTACTGTCATTAATTAAAAATCAATTTTTTTTTGTACCAGGGATTGAACTCAGGAATGCTTAACCACCAAGCCACTCCCCAGGCCTTTTTAATAGTTTATCGCTGAGCTCCTCAGGGCTTTGCTAAGTTGCTGAGGCTGGATTTGAACTTAGGATTCTCCTGCGTCTGCCTTCTGAGTTGCTGGCATTATAGGCATGTGCCACTGCGCCTGGCTTATTAATTTATTTTTAATTGGTACATGATAGTTATGTATAGCGGTTGAATCTCTTGTGATATGTTCACACCTGCACTGTATAGCATGGTGGTCCTCCCCTTTCTTGTCTCTGCTGCCACACACTTCCTCCCTTCTTCTATTCCAGTCTTCTCCCTTCTACGTGTTGGGCTCATCTTATGTTTTTCTTGTCCTAGTCCTAAAATCAGCAATTTTTCCTAGAAGGAAAATTCCTTTTACCAGAGTGCTGTAATGAGAAACCAAGATTTCAACATTGTACATCTTTGATTTTTATATATTAGTCTTATATTTACAAACTTGCTGGATTCTCCTGTTTGGGTAATTTGCTGATTTTCTTGGGTTTTCAATGTAAAAGCAAGGAAGTATAGAAAATTAGAAAATCAAACAATAAACAAAAATGCCACTGGTAAATTAGGTGTAGAAGTAGGATTATAGACTAAAAACTTAAAATAAGCATTATGAAATAGTGACATTAGAAGACTTCCCTGGAAAGTCAGGAAGAGGAAATGGATAAATGTTTGCTACTTAACATTTTGCTATATTATTTTGGTAAAACCAGGAAAAAAAGCAGTGTATTAAAAATAAAGAAACCAGATTTTTATTTGCTTATTTAACAGGTATTAGATTATATATCTTTCCTCTATCACGAGGTCATTGTTTTTCTCTTTTACTCTGTTCATTTGTTGGCTGTTGTGAATCTGCTTTTAAAATTTAAACATCTGGATATTCTGAGGATAAATTCTATTTGATTATGTTGTGTTAAGTTTTTCTTTATATTTTTGGATTATGTGGATTTCTGATACAGATCAATCTTATATTTGGACATAGATGCAAAAATTTCATAATATTGGCAATCTGAATATCCAGGTAAGAAAAATCTTTAGTTTTATGGAGGCAGACAATCAAAACTTAAACAATCCTGTGAGTAGTATTGGTGGGACTATAAGATGGAACATATACCTATAGAAAACAGTATAGCAGTTCTTCAGAAATTAAACATAAAATGATCATATGATCTGGCAATTACACTTCTGCGTATGTTATCCAAAAAGAATTGAGAGCAAGGACTTGAGCATAGATTTGTATATCCATGTTCATAGCAGCATCTTTGCCAGTAGCCAGGGTGGAAGCAACCTAAGTGTCTGTTAACAGATGAATAGATAAACAAAATGTAGTGCAAAGATACAGTAAACTATTAGCAACGACGGACGGGAATTCTGACACATGCAGTAGTGTGTGTGAAACTTGAAGGCATTATGCTAATTAGTTAGTGGGTCACAAGAAGACAAGGACTGCATGATTCCCCTTGTATGAGGTGGTCTAGTTGACAGAAGCAGAAAGCAGTAGGTACTGGGCACCAGGGGTAGGAAAGAATGGGGAGTTACCGCACAATGGGCAGAGGTTCCATTTTGCAGGGTGGAGAGTTGTGTGGGTGGGTGGTGGTGATGGTAAAGCAGCAGTGTGAACAACAAAAGTGGGTAAGACACTGCAGTATGTGTATTTCACCATAATTTCAAAAAAACACAAAAATACACAATCAGAATTATTCTAGCTCTGTAAAACTAAGGCTCTCTTTATTCTCTTTTCTGAAAGTTTTTTTAAAATATATAATTTGGATCATCTTTTTTTGTGGCGGTTGACTTTTTGGTGAAGGTTGCCTATAGAATCATCTAAATTTAGTGACCTTTCATAGTTACATGGATGTTCAGATATTTTTCTGCTCCTTATCAAATTGCATTTCTAAGAAATTATTTTTAAATACAGTGGGACAGTATGATTTATAATATTCATAGACTCATAATTTTAAGAGAGATTCTACCTTGTGTGGCATGAGTTCTCTGTTTCAGAGCCTCTGTGCTTGGCACTGTGTTGACAGAAGTTTATTGTTTTATTAGTCTTTCAGAGAGGTAGATATCACTAAGTGTTTACCCAAACTTAATTAGGCACTGCTCTAGGATCTGCGATTCAGTAGTGAACAAAATACCTAAAATCCCTGATATCAAGCAACTAAAATTTTAGTAGAACTTAAATTCTAAATTATTTACTTTCTTTTTTTATCTTTGTCTTGCAATTCTGCTCTTATCATTAGTATCTTCTTTCTTCCACTTAATTTAGTTATATTCATTTTCTAGCCTATTCATCTGAATGCTTACTAATATTTTCTTTCATACTAGAAATGTGCATGTGTTATAACTTTATATTTAATAATAGCTTTAGTTGCATCCCATAACTTTTGATAAGGAATATTTTATTCTCATTTGATTTAAATTTTAAAGGTTTATTGTTATATTTTCTTACCTCTCTTGATATTTGCATCCATGTGAGGCAGAGCTCAATTACTGCAACTTCTAGCCTTCCTCTGCCCTTTTACCCATTCTGTCTTGGGGGAGAGGAAGTGTCCCCTATCTGTGTGGAACCTGGGAAGAGTAAATTGGACAGACTTTGCTCAGCTCCACCTTCTTCCTTGGGGACTAGCCTTTCATTGGGGTGCAGGTGCTCATTCAGATCCTCCAGGGTTGTTCTGCAGTTCTGGAGCAGGATGTTGGCAAGGCCATCTGAGTGCTTAGGACAGCTCAATTCTGTGGCTCAGTTGAAAGTTGTTTCTCTCTCCAGAGAGTTAATTACTTCACCTCCCCCTGTCTAATAGTATGTGGTCTTATTTCTTATGTTTATAATATAGGTGGTAAATGAGCACACCAAAGATACAGGCCCCACGAGAAACTTAGTTATCTGTTATGATCTGTTCTAGGACTCTGAATTATTTAGTAAAATTCTAAACTTCTAAAATACATATATTTTATTGTCTTCTTTTCCTGTTAATTTCTACTTCAATTGAATTGTCTTCAGAAAATATTGTATATTATAGATTCTTTGGTTATTTTCAGACACCTGCTTTGTACCATAGTTTTGTGGTTAAATTTTCAAAATACTACTCATGTACAAAAATATCAGTGGAATGCAGAGTTATATGTTCATTGGTTCAAATTTGTGGATTTGTTTAATTTTTAAAAGAATTCTAACAGCTTTATTAAGATACAATTTACACAACATAAATGAGTTCAGTTTTTCCCCCTTATATCAACACTTGCATAATCAGTCTTTTAAAGTTTGGTTATCCTGCTAGCATACCTGCTAGAGGGTGGTATGTGTGCCTGTTAGTAGTACTGAGTTGTCATTTCTGGTTTTTATTTTCCTGTTGACTAATGATGTTGGGGATCTCTTTAAGTGCTCATTTGCCATATGTGTATCTTCTGTGGTTCAGTAGCAATTACAATTTTTTTTTCAGGTGGGTGACTTAAAAAATTGAGTATTGAAAGTTTTTTTATATATTCTGGGTACAAATTCCTTATCATGTGTGAAATTAGGAAACGTTTTTTTCCCAGTCTGTGGAGTCTTTTATCTTTTAACTCTCTTTGGAGGACAGAAGTTCTTAACTTTTGATATAGTCATATTTGTCACCTTTTTCCTTTATAGGTGGTGTTTTGTACTTGGTTCTGGTCCTGTGGACTTCCCTTTCATTCTTGAAACCCTAACAGTGTTTTGTATATTTTGTCTTAGATTTCTGAAAATGTGTAGTAGAAGTATTTAATATCATGTATGTAGTAGAAGTATTTAATATCATTTAATATTATGTTGCTAGAACTAAAAGTGTGATAACTATTATGTGTTTGAAAATTTTATTAGTTTGTATCTTTAAAGGAATCTCAACTTCTCATTCTTTTTGACCCATTGAAGTCTTTGTAATATGTAGTGTATTATTTATATTTTTGTAAATAAGTGGTTTTAATAAATAAAAAATTCAAAGGATAATATATAAATTAACTAATCACTTATAATTTAATGCTTTATAATATTATTGTAATTAGGATTTAAATAAATTGAGTGGTTTGTAGCAGCTATCCAGAAACTTTAAAAAAATTGTTATTTTAATAGCCATTTCTAATTGCATGTTTAATATTTGACTCATTTTTTTCCCCCCTTTTATCTTTAGATCACAAAATTTGTCCAGGACAGACATAGAGCTAGAAGAAATAGACTTCGTAAAGATCAACTTAAGAAACTTCCTGTACACAAATTCAGGAAAGGTGAGTGAACCTGTTGTCTTCTAAATCACAGCACAGTACATGATGACCACACCCTGCTATCACCTTCTGAGTCCCTGCTGCCTCTACCTGACCCTGAGCAGACAGGTAAGAACCGGGGGGCATTTGTGGGACATGGATTCTGCTATGGCACCATGGTGACACAGGTAGGGTGCACCATCTATGGGGAATGTACAGCAGTGGTGAATTGAGCAGAGTGCTTTTCATCACCACCCATTCTACCAGTTCTCTGCATGTCGGGAGTAGAGCACTTCTCTGCACCAGGGTGGCTGGCTCCTCTTCTTTGTCTCTTTTCTACCATATGCTGTTTATGTAGTGTGGTATTAACTAAAAACGCAAGTAGCTGTTAGGGCTCTACATTTTACATTATATATTTTATATCAGTATCTTCTCATTTAATTATTCCTTCCCTGTAGATGGAACAGAAGGTCTGGGAGGCGTAGAACTTTAGTGACACATAGCCAGTGTTGAGAGCTGCGGAGGGTGTTGTGGCTCCGTTCTGTGGCCAGTGTAGTGTCCCTTCTCTCTGCTTTCGTGATACAGGCACATGCTTTTTAAACCTTTTGGCTAGTACTTCCTAGACTTTTCAATTTTTTATACAAGTAAAAATGTTCTGTTTTTTTATTCAGCAGTGAGAGTGCAGGGAATGAAGGTAAAAACCAGACGGTGACATTAAAACATTTCTGCAAAGGTTTTTTTTTTTTTCCAAGTTAAAAAAATTTATTTCTTTTTAATATTTACAATTACCATTATGTTATTTAAAAATAAAGAATTTAATAAAAAAAAAAGAATACCATGTTAAAATAAACATATTGACAAATACATGTATGAAACTGTAGTGAACTATCATTTTAGAGGATGCATTTTATTCAGGCCAGAATATAATAAAGACTCGTTTTAGGAATCACTTTTTAAAGCTTGATTTTATTTGTTTATTTTTGTATTTCTTAAACCCAGAAACAAAAATTGTTTTTTTTTTTTTTTTTTTTTTTTTTTTTTTAGAAGACGATGTTAAGATTGCTCTGGGTTAAAAACATAGGCAGAGTTGGCTTTTCCTGAGTAAAATGCGGAGCCATTGTAGAATGTTGAACAAGAGAGACAGAAACTACATTAAATGTTAAAAGGATTTTCTGCTGCTTGTTAAGAATAGACTTTTAGAGGGTCAAAGGTACAAGCAGAGAGACCAGATGGGAAGTTAGGGCAGTAACCCATGTGTGACATACATGTGGGTTGAATCAGAGTGGTGGACCTAAGGGAGGAGAAGAAACCTCCAGCAATTGGATGTGTCGGGGGATGCAGCCCAGTAGGTGTGTTAATGGACTGGCTGGAGAGAAGACTGGAATGGCCCTGTGGTTTTTGTTCTGAGCAATAGGCAGAATGCACCTTCCAAGTGAGGAAGGCCCTTAAATAGAAATAGGGATGGTTAACATGTGGTAGAGCAGGTTTGGGGATGTTGGGAGCATGGGTTTTTGGACATGTGGCATTTCTGATGTCACCTAGACAGTATGAGTCATTGTGGAGCTCAAGACAGGGGACTGAACTGGAAGTATTGGCATAGAGATGAATTTAATTATGAGGCTGCTTATAATTACCAAGAGCATGAGTACAGAGAGAATGACATTGAAGACTCTGGGAAACTCCAACTTTAAGAAAAGAAATCAGCAGTGTTGATGAGGAGTGAACAGTTAGGAGAAAAATCAAAAGAGTGTGGTTTATTAGAAACCAAGTGATACACATCTATCATGGAGCAAAGAGTGAAAACTTGTGTCAGTGCTCCTGACAGAGAGGTCAGTGAGAGCCTGAGCAGTTTGACCAGAGTGGCCAGGCCAGACCTTGTTTTAGTGTTTATGACCATGAACCAGTCAGCAGTATTCATCCTTACCATTCCTTCTTTATTAAAATGTGAAGTATGGTATGTAGACGGAAGGGGATATAGAAGTGTATTTCTGGAAACATGCACTTCAAGAAACAGAGCATGTGCAGCCCGTGGAATCTCTCCTGTTCTGCTCTGGGTGGTATTCCTTCCTCCACTCTGGAGACAGTCACTATCCTGTCTCATGACGTCCATTGCCTTGCTTCTCTCAAGTTTTATCATATATGTGTATATAACCAACAAACACTTTAATTTTTGCCCATTTCTGAATTGTATTTTTATTACCTCATTTATTAACATTTTTGGTCAAATTAATCTACTTATTGCATGTAGGTGTCGCTCCTTCACTTAATAGACGCTTGAGTAAAGCCATTATAGACTGTGATTTTGAGAACATTCTTGTCCATATATCCTGATCCATAAGTACTTGGATTTCTTTAGGGCATGTAGAAGCACATTAGGTAGGTCTTAGTTGGGTGCCATCTCCAACTTCATTTGGTATTGCCAAATCATTTCCAAGGTGGTGAATGGTGCTAGTTTATATTCCCACCAACACTGTTCAGAAGTTCCTGTTGCTCACATATTTACCAGCAATTCCCTAGTGATTAATGCTGAACATCTTTTCCTGTGTTTACTGTATTGATCAACTTAAATTTTAGCCATTCTGGTGGGTTGATAAAGAGATCTCATGTGGCTTTCATTTACATCTCCCTCCTTGCCATCAAGGTAGGTGTCTGCTAACATTATTTACCGATTGGACATTTCACTCCATAGAATACCTTTCGTGCCATCTGTTTGACTCCGCCGTCCCCTCCCGCCCTGCCCTGTCCCCGTGTACCTGGGCGAGTTCTATGTGTGCTCGCACCCACTCTGGAGTTGCATGCGTGGTGAATCAGCCTTCCACTGTCCTGTGTGTTTTAACTATCTTTTTCTGACTTGCAGCTTTCCAAGGCTTCAAGTTCTTGACTTTTTTGGTAGTGTCATTGTACTTTTTAAAAGCACTCTTCTCCCACCCCAAGATTATTTACATATTATTTTGTACTATCTCCTGAAAGCTTCGTCCTTTTTTTTTTAAGTTGCTGATGGACCTTTATTTTATTTATTTTATGTGGTGCTGAGGGTTGAACCCAGTGCCCCTCTAGGCAAGCACTGTTCCACTGTGCTACGATCCCAGCCCAAAGCTTTGTACTTTTACCTTTCATGGTTGGGTCTTTAATCCACTGGAATTGATTGTATAAAATTGGATTTCAATTTACATTTTTTCCCCTCCAATTTTTTATTTTCACTTAAAGAGATCTAATTGTCCCAGAACTAATTGTTTAAAATACACTGTTTTTTGTTTCTGGACTTCCCTTGGTCTTACTGTTTATCCAGACATCAGTATCACATTGTCTCGACTCCAGCAGGTATAGTTAATTCTGACAAAGCTGGTCCCATCTTGTACCTCTACAGTAGTTTTTAGCTATGTTTGACACTGCATTTCCATGTAAGGTTAAAACTACCCTACTTCCAAACATCTATATAAGCTATTGTATTCATTTTTTTGGGGGGGGGGTACCAGGAATTGAACCCAGGGGTACTCGACCACTGAGCCACATCCTCAGCCCTATTTTGTATTTTATTTAGAGACAGGGTCTCACTGGTTGCTTAGCACCTCACTTTTGCTGAGGCTGGCTTTGAACTCGAGATCCTCCTGCCTCAGCCTCCTGAGCTGCTGGGATTAAAGGTATACAATATTGTGCATGGCTATTGTATTCATTTTTAAATGTAGTAAAATACATATAACATAAAATTTGTAATTTTAACCATTTAAAGTTTATAGTTGTATTAGCAAACACATTCTCATTGTTATGAAGCCATCACCATATTTGTCTCCAGAATTTTTTATCTTCCCAAGTTGAAACACCACACCCACTGAACAGCAGCTCTCCGTTTCCTCCAGCCGTGGCAGCCCCCATTCTGCTGTGAACTTACTCACATAAGTCCAGCCACAATGGTTTGCCATTTTTTTCTGACTTACTTCACTTAGCTTTATGTTCTCAGGGATCATGCATGTTGTGTCACCTATCAGAATTTCTTTCCTTTTCTGCTGAGTAATATTCCATTGTTTGTTTTTGCCACATTTCATTTCTATACCCATCTGTTAGTGGACACTTGGGCTGTTTCTACCTTTTGACTATTTTTAATAATGGTACAGTGAACAGTTTATATCCTGGTTTCCATCCTTTGGGGTATAGGGCAAGGAGTGGTGGTCGAACTTTGTGGGGAACTGCCGTGGTGTCTCTGCGGTCACTGTACTGTGTTACATTCCTAGCAGCAGTGCACGAGGGCTCAGATCTCTCCACACCTTTAGTGTTGCTTTTGTTTTCATCACAGCTAATAGTGGATGTGAAGAGGTATCTTATGACTCTCTTTGCAATTCCCTTGTGATTAATGCTGAACATCTTTTCCTGTGTTGACTGGAAATCCTCCTGCCTCAGCCTCCCAAGGAGCTGGTATCACAGGTGTGCACCACCATGCTTAGCAACCTTGTCAAAAACAAATTGGCCTTAGATGAATGGGCCATTTCTGGACTGTCAGCTTTATGCCTGTGGTCTATCTGATTATCCTTTTGTCAGTGTCACTCCATTTTAATCACTCCAGCTTTGTAATAATATTTGAAATTGAGAATTGTGAATCCTATAAATTTGTGATCCTCTTTCATTATTCTTTTAGCTATTTAGGATCCCTTTCAGCTTCACAATAATTTCAGAATGGACCTTTCTATTTCAGAAAACAAACAAACAAAAAGCCTCTTGGAATTTTGATAGAGATTGTGTTGAATTACTTCTTTTCCTATCTGGAGTCCTTCTAATTTTTCTTGTCTGATTGCTCTAGCTAGACCTTCCAATGCTGTGTTGAGCAATGGTGACAAGGACATTCTTCCCCTGTTCATGATCTTACAGGAATAGAGTTCAGTCTTTGTTAAGTATGATGTTAACTGTAGTCTTTTTTTTATTTATAGATTTTTTAGTTGTTGATGGACCTTAATTTTATTCATTTATTTATATGTGGTGCTAAGAATCAAACCCAGTGCCTCAGACATGCTAGGCAAGTGCTCTACAACTGAGCCACAGCCCCAGCCCTAACTATGGTCTTTTTATCTGGGGCTTTTATTATATTGAGGTAGTTTCCTTCTCTTCCTGGATTATGGAGTCTATATTATGAAATAGAGTTGAATTTTATTTGCATCAAGTGAGGTGATTATGTGGGTTTTGCCCTTCATCTTCTTACCATGGTGTATTACATAGATTGATTTTTGTATGTTGAACCATTCTGAATTCCAGGAATAAGTGCCACTTGGTCATGGTGTATAATCCTTTTGATGTACTGTTGAATTCAATTTTCTAGTATCTTGTTGAGAATTTTTACATCAATATTTATAAGGAATACTGGCTGCAGTTCTCTTGTATTGTTGTGTCAGGGTAATACTGACTTATAATCTCCTCTTTTTAGTCTTTCAAAGAGTTTGGGAAGGATTGGCGTTAATTCTTTTTTAATGTGTCTCCTTGGTTGTCGGAGAATATACTTGTATGAATTCAATCTTCTTAAATTTGTTAAGATTATTTTGTGGACTAACTTGTGTTCTTATCTTGGAGAATATTCCATATGCACTAGAAAACTCTGTGTGTTTTTTTTTTTTTTTTTTTTTTTTGCTATTGGGTGGAATGCTCTGTATGTTTGTTACTTTCAGTTGGTCTCTAGTGTTCAGATCCACTGTTTCCACCATGTTTTGCTTGTTCTGTTCTTACTGAAAGTGAGGTGCTGTAGCTTCCCACTGTTGTGTCATTGCCCATTTCCCCCTTCAGTTCTTTCAGCATCTGCTTCATGTTTTTGGGTGTCTCATGTTAGGTGTGTATGAATTTATCATTGTTATATCTTACTAGTGAATTGATCATTTTATAATTACATAGTGTTCTTTGTCCATTTTTACAGTTTTTGCCTTAAAATCTCTTTTGTCTGATATAAGAACTCGTGGTATCTTTAGTGCCATTTGCATGGAATATCTCTTTCCACTCTTGTTGGTTTTAACTTATGCATATGCTTAGACATAGTTTTAATACATAGCAAGTCTTGTACTTTAATCCCTTCAATCTACTACAATTATATTTAAAGTAATTTCTGATATAGGCTTATTATTCTGTTAATTATTTTCCTGTCTAAAAGCATTTTTCTCTCACTTTTCTTCTCCTGATATATTTCTTTTTGTTGTTCATGATTTTATTTTTTTGTAGTGACATGTTTTTGGTTCCCTCTCATTTCCTTTCATGTATATTTTATACAGAATTTCTTTGTGGTTATCTTTATAAATTACATAGAATATCTTAAAGTTCTATTGATCTGTGTTAAACTGATAAATCATATCACTGTTTGCCTTCTATTTTGTTATTGATGACACAAATTGTTTTTATTTTGTATTCATTAAAATAGATTCACAATTATTTTTATGCTTTTAAGTATTTTTATACCAGATTTATAAGTGTTTTACTCACCTACATTATGATGTTACAGAATTGATTGTATGTTTTATCTTTACCAAGGATCTTTATATTTTCTTGTGGTTTTTTTGTTCCTATGTATCATCCTTCCAATTCAACTTGGAATATTTTTTCAGTATTTCTTATAGGGTAGGTCTGGTACTGATAAACTCCCTCAGCTTTTGCTTATCTGTGAAAGTCTTAATTTCTTCTTATTTTTGAAGGACAGTTTTGCCAGGTATAGTATTCTTGGTTGCTTGGGGTCCCCACCCCATTGTTATTTTGAATATATCTTCCTGTTCTCTTCTAGCCTAAAAGGTTTCTGCTGATAAAGTCATCTGATAATTCTCATAGGAGCTGTTAGGAATGTGCTGTTGCTTTTTGCTGCTTTCAAGATTCTCTGTCATTTTTTAAACAGTTAATTATGATGTGTCTTGCCATAGATCTCTAGATTTTTTTTCCCCCTGTTTTGGAGCTCTCTGTGAGTATTGCATTTGGATGTCCATATCTCTCCTTCAGTGTGGGAATTTTCAGTTATTATTTATTCAAATAGGTTCTCTGCACCCTACTTTACTTTTTATCCTTCTGTGTGTTCCAATTGATATGCTTTTCTGTTTGATGGTGTCCCATAAATCCCTCATATCCTCTTACCTCTCCTCTGTTCTTTGTCTTGTTGATCTTCCTTTTTGTTAATGCATCCTTTTCTAATTTTAGTTTTTTGTGTTCTTTTAATTCACTGTGTGTCCTTACAACAGTAATTTTGGATCTGGAAAGTCATATGTCTCTGTTTCATTAGGATCGGTTTCTGCACATTTTTGTTCCTTTAATGTATCATGGCTGTTTCTTTGTGAGTCTTGTTTTTTCATCATTGGGATTTGGTCATTTGAAGAATCAGCCATCTCACCCAGACTTTGTGACCTAGTTTCATATAAGGAGGACTTTCTCCAGTCAGCCCTGCTAAAGAGTCTGGAAACCTCTCAAACCTCTGATAGGTATGCATCCTCCTTGGGGTGGTACATGTAACCTGTTTGAAGGGGTTTGTCAGTTTCTACTTGGGCACTATAAATTGTGGTAACTTCACCTAGTGTTCACCTGTGGTACTAAAGACTGGTGTGGAGCAGGTTCTTCTCCTGGTACCTGGTATCCAGTTCCTGATTTTTTGTTTCCCCAACCTTAGGTGGTACAGATAGCTTACAGGGGAGGGGGGTGTTGGCAGGAGTTGGGTTTTCTCTTTCTCCAGATCAAAACCTCAGTAGATTATGATCTGGTAAATTATTTTCAAAATAATATACCCACACCAGAGTCTAGATGCACTGTTCTACCTAGATGGTAGAGATGCAGGAGTGGATATAAATCAAGAAGTAACTGCCATATTTCAAGTGTTGTATAAAATTTACCAAAAGACACCATGACCAAGTTTCTGTGAATACTGAATTGATAGCTTAGAAAACACCTTCCTCTAGTGTACCTTCTATTAATTCTTAATATTACTCTACATATTGAAGATATTTTTCTTTCCATAGGATCATTTTTAATTCCTAAAAAACATTTATACCTAGTATGGCACATAGCAGGAACTCAAATATTTGCTGAATTGCTCCAAATTAGACTCAGTCACAATTCATTTAAATTCAGTTACATTAATCCTAAAATATTACTAAGCCTCACTAGCACTTTGTCAGAATCACAGACCTTCCGATGTGCTCACTGATGGTACATAATTTTTAATTTTCACACATGATTCAACTGTATACAGCCCCGATCCCACAGGCCTGTCACTGTCCCACTGCAGGCTGATCAGGAGAATCTAGAACAGTCACTGAATGGGTGGATTTCCTTAGACATGGCAATCTAGACACATTATGAACACTGCTGTATTTGTGAAAAAGATACTGCTGTTTTATAACATGAAAAGGATAAATAAAAATGATTTCCACATTTAAATTTAAAATTTTTTCAGTTATTTCTTTGCCAAAAACTTTCAAGTTGATTGGTTTCTTACCCCTCCCCACTTGGGGCTACACTGGGAGGATGAAAGTCTGAGAGGCTCGGCATGTGCAAAGTCAGCGATAGTCCTGAACTGGTACTCCTCTCCTCCATCCTGTTTAAAGCCCTCACTGTCAGGAAGGTCCCTGACTCAGAGTTCTAAGTCTAGGCGACACCCTGCAGTCCTACAGTGTAGATGCTGCACCGCCCCAGGGAGTCAGCATCAGTCTCAGTGTCAACTTTTCATTCTCCTATTTGTGGTACCAGTTATTTGGGGGAGATGGCAATACAGTGCCTTGGGGAAGTGGCACTGGGTTTCTATGGACTTGCCTGGTGGTGCCCTTTGAGGCAGCAGGACGTAGGTCTAAACAGGGTGACTGAGGTGGCACCACAGCCAACTGAAAGGCCCCTGTCTCTGGAACCAGCCAAGTGACTGGATAGATGCCCCCACTTCTTCAGCAAGGAAGTGGCAGCAAGGGGCAGGACTGTTGAGACCAAGAGAGAATGACAAGTCACCGTCCAGTGCGGTGCGTAGGCCTTGCTTAGACACTGGTTGGAACAAACCCTTAAGACATTATTGAGACATTGGGGAGATTTTAGTTTGCTTTGGACACTAGATGTTAGGAAATTATCATTCATTTTGTTAGGTGTGGTAATAGCATGGTGATTATGCTTTTTAAAGTCTTTATGTTTCAGAGATACATTGGCTTTTAATTTCTTCAGGGAAACAAAGTGGAGGAAGGCAGATTTATTGAGAACAAGGGGATATTGAAATTAAGCCTGGTGATGGCACATGAGATGGTTTTATAGTAGATTATATTTTTGTGTATGTTTGAAATGTTCTCTAATTTTAAAAAGAGAGGAGGGGAAGAGAGAGGGAGAGGGGGAAAGGGCGAGGGGAAAGACACTAAAGAGAGCAAATTCTGCTCCCAACCTAGCCAGCTCCAAAACTCCACTACAGCCACAAGTCGTCTTCTTTCCTGTGACCAGTCCCTAGATCCCCTCCAACATCACCACACTGTGTCACAGATGCGTCCATGGGGGCAGGGAGAGAGGCATGTGAGCAATCCCTGTGGACCCCACAGCACAGAGTTAGCAGCTGACTTTCACAAGGCAAGCCCTTCTTGGAGGGTGGTGGAGTGGAATGGGCAAGGATTCAGAACCACAGGACCTTGTTCTACTACTGATTAGATGTGGCTTTGTGCAAACTATCTAATCTGCCTCTGATAATCCCTGCCTTAAGCATCTCTCTTAGGTCTGAGAAGAAAGCCCTGCAAATAGCTTTTCAAATGCAAATTATTGTAGACCAAAACCAAGGCCTGTACCTTGGGAGCCACAGGATCTTTGAAATCCCACAGGCCAGGGTGCATTTTCAGGATGTCTTATCTTCTATAGAAAAGGACATCTGAGGTTGTTGTGTAGGTCCCCACATGTTCTGGCCACTAGAATTGACTCTTCTGACTGCTGACCTTGCTTTGCCTTCTGCCTTAGTTCCCCACAGGCTGCCTCAGCTGGCTGCTTTGTCTGCTTTACATTTTATTTAAAGACGTCTCCCCAGATGGCATCATCACCAGTCACTTTCATAGGCTGGCCATCCTGTAACTCCTGTTAGTGACCACATGGTCAGTGTTGGTTAGATGTCCTGTGCCGGCCACACTGAAAGAAACAATGAAGTATAAAGTCAGGCTATAGTTTCTGCTTTCCAGAGAGGAAGAAGGTAGAGGGGAATGAGCTGGGCATCGTTACCCAAGGTCACGTACCTCTGTACTGTGGTGCCACTGGTGCAACTCTGCGTTGCATACAGTCAAAAGACATGAAAGCTGTGCTCTGTGTGTGCTGTATCAGAATGCACTCTGTTGTCATGGAGAACTCATCAGAACAAATTACGAAATTCAAAAATAAATAAAAAAGGTAGGTTGTGGCCCAGAGATTATCAGTCTTTTTCTGCTTCAGTGGAATTATTTCCTTGTGCAGCTCAACCCAAGCTTCCTGCTTGGAGGCCACCTCCCACCTGGGTCTGGGGCGGAGCATCCTGACCATCCTGATCATCCCTCTGCCAGGCTTGATCCTCACTGCTTAGGCAAACAGCACACTTTTGAGGCTCACTGTGAGGCAAGCACTCATAAAATACTGGCCAACTCTTTAATATTTAGAATTAACTGACCAGCTTAGGTTAAAAATAGCAGGCCAGTTTGCTTGTATATTTAACTTCTCCCCTTTCTTTCCTGCTCCTTTTTTCATGTTGCATCTTACTAATGTCAATAAAACAGCTTAGGAATGACCACCACTTCTGATGTGCCCCTCACTCTCCCTGTGCCTGTGGACGGGGCTGGTGGATTGTTCTCTCAAAGGACGACAGTCCGATCTCCTCTCTCCACCCTCTTTAGGATGCCTTCATATACTGGCCGCTCCTTGGCTTCAAAGTGTCCAGTTGGCATCTGCTGCCTGCAGTTCCATCATCAACATGGAGTTAGGGGTGAAATGTGAGGCCAAACTCAGCCCATCAGGCAGGGTCTATGTGGAATTTATCCACTTCATAAAAAAAGTTTGGCTTTCTTTACCTATATCTGTATGATCAGCTCCTCTGCTATGGATTACTGGTTGGAAGTCAGAATCAGGATTTTCTGGGAATAGTCTGTGTAGTAATTGTGTTCCTTCAATATATTTTTACCAAATATTTTAATGTGTGCCAGGTACTGTTCTGGGTGCTAGGGAAACAGCAGTAAATAAAACAGGAAAATGCCAGCCTTTGTAGAGCATATTGGGGGCGGGCAGACAAATAACAACTAAAGTCACATAGGAGTGTTACAAAAAAAAAAAATGATGAGTGGTAGGTGAGAGGGGCCTGTCTTAGGTAGGACATGAGGCACTCTGAACAGAGATCTGAGGATGTGAGGGAACAGTCTCTGGGCCTGGGGACAGGGAGCATGGCAGGACACTGCAGCAGAGGAGGCACCTATAGAGGCCTTGTGGCAGTGTGTGGCGGATGTGTGCTTGACGTGTCAGGGAGTAGCTTACGGGCATGTGACAGGGATCTGGCCTGGCGGAGAGTGGGAAGATGTGAGGGCAGAGGTGCACGGGGCCAGAGGACGCCATGGTGAAGACTATGCTTCATGGCCTGGCCATCAGATTGCTGTGGGAAGGGTCCCCCCCGCCAGGGGTCCACAGACAAGCAGGGAGAGTAGGTGCCCAGGGTTCCAGTGAGCAGCTTGCTTTTTCGTCAGCTGTCCCTCTGGAACAGATGGACTAGCGTCGGCCCACTCCATTCAGAGCATGAGGGTACAATGAGAAAAGATGGCCCCCTTCCTCAGAGAGCAAAGAATCGAAAACCAGAGTTCAGACCAACCAGCACTAGCTGGTGTCTGTGCTTTGTGGAACTGTTTCAAGGGAAGAATGTTCTCAGTTTACTCTTAATAAAGCAAGTCAGGAACAGGAGTGATTCTCCATTTCTCTAAAGAAATGCCTTTCAAGATGGCTGCATAGGAATGACTTCATGAGAATCCAGGTTGGACAAGGAGGACCCACCAGTGTGGATCCCTAGAGACGAGTGTGTTCCTGAGTTTCTTGGAGATGAACTGGTTGTCACTTCAGGTTCCAAGAGGGCCATCCCAGGTCCACTCTGTAATGGCTTTGACTGAAGGGGGTTGGGAGACCTATACTGCTGAGCAGAACCAGGCCTTGCCACAGGTCAGCCCTTCTCTAGCCCAAGAAGTTAGTGGGATTTGTACCAGTGGGTTAACTGGGATTCACGTGGACTGGCGGGCATTGCACTTATCAGATTCAACACTTTTCCGTTGTGAGTCTTGTAAGTGCCACAACACGCCTGCTACACAGTGCAAAAGTCAGTAGCCTACTCAGCGTTCGTGATCTCGGTTCTTAGTGACACAAGTAGGAAAGTACTTCCGTGACCATTTTGTAGGTATAGATGAGACTCGAGGTCAAAGTATTTGTGATTGGGGTACACTGTCAGGTAAAGGTACATTGCAGGGCTGCAATTCAGATTCCTGATTCCAAACACTAGACATGTAAATACAGCCCTACCCATTTTCCACCTTCAGCAACAACCATTTCAAAGTAAAATAAGCTGCCTCCTGGCTTTCATCCTTCCAGTTTCCTCTTTTCTTACCCTTCCCCCATTCCCACCCCTGCTTATCCTTCTCCTCCTCAACTCACTATGTCAAAAGGAAATAACATGTTTTAGATAAACTAATTTCCTGAAAGTTAAAGTCTTCTAGCAGTATCTAAGAATCATTTCACTTTAACAAGGCAAATTACCCATTCATATTTCTGCTTTTATTACCTGTCAGACCTTATGTTAGCTTTCTGTTACTATAACAAAATGCCTCAGATAATCAATTTAAAAAGATGAAAGGTTTATTTTGGCTCACAGCTTCAGAGGTTATAGTCCATGTTTAGTTGGTCACATTGTTTAGGCTTTGAAACACGGCAGCACATCATAGTGTGATGGACTAAACTGCTCACCTTGTGGTGGCCAGGAACCAGAGAGAGAGAGAGAGAGAGAGAGAGAGAGAGTGTGACTGGTATCCTGTAATTGCCCTTGAGTGTATGCCCCCTAAGCACTTCAGACCTCCCAGCAGACCCTACCCACTTCTTAAAGTTTCACCACCTCCAGATGGTGCCACCCTGAGGACAAGGCTTAAACATTAGGAACATTCAAGGTCCAAACACTGAACACCATTTGCTCACATTTTTATTGGGATCTTAGTATTTTCTTATCAATTTGTATACACTGTTTTAAAAGAAAAATTTATGTTTGATTTTTTCTTATAATCACCTTTGCTACATAGACAGTTGTACTGAATATTAGGCTGATCTAGTCAAGCAGGCAGAACCATCTAGAAGCAATTGTCTTTATGCAAAAATAATGCAGGTCCCTTGCCCCAGGTGTATCTGAAGCTGAGCAGAGTTCTTATTTAACCTCCTTTATGTGAAGCAAAAGCAAAGAAATACTGCATCCTAGCACACTAATATGTCAGGGCACATACAAGTCTGCGTGTCTTGAGGTGTGCTCTAGAAGTATGCCAACCCTTTCTCAGTGACCTGAGGAACAGCAGTGGAACAAGAAGAGTGAACCCTCAGTCCTTGCACACACCGTGCTTCTGGTACATTTTCTGCCTTTCTCAAATATATGCACTTTGTCTCTTCAGGGTGGTGACAGATCTTTGAATTTATTTGATCCTTTATTCAGAAACACTTTGGCTATAGCTGTATTTTTTCCTGCATAAACCATGAAACCAAGTTAGAACCAATTAAAATAATAAAAAGTGATTATTTTTTAAAACTACTTTAGTTGTAGATGAACACAATACTTTTATTTATTTATTTTTATGTGGTGCTGAGGATCGAACCCAGTGCCTCACACATGCTAGGCAAGTGCTCTGCCCTGAGCCATAGCCTCAGCCCCTGGAATGACTGTTTAAAATACAGTGAAAAGCTTTTTTTAAAAAAGACTACCCAAAATAAAATTTGGCCAAAGCTCATCTGTAAGTAGACATGGATTTCAGTCATATGGATTTATTTAGGGCCTGCAAGGCTGTCGTTCTTATTCCTGTTCCCCAATTAGTAAGATGACTGTCCGACAGTTTCCCAACAGGCATTCTGGTCTCTCCGCGGGCGGTCCCATCTCTGTGGAGACATGGCATTCCTGCTGTATGAGGTGCATCTGTATGAGGTGCGTCTGTGTGGGGCTTCACATCAGAACATGAAGAACACTCACCACAGTGCTGCCGTGTACATAGCTCAGAGACAGCAGCAGCCCGTGCTATGCAAATAAATGACCCTTTAAAGTAAAATGTGAATGTCATAGAAATTCAATCATCACATTTTTATGATACAAAAGATTGCACTTGGAAAACATGTAACTGTAAACACGACACTTGAAATTTCTTTTCAACAGTAAGTTTGAGGTACCTATATTTTTGTTTTATGATGTTTTGGGTTGTTATGATGCTTGTCATGTAAAATGAAAGAGCTGTGATTGTTACACATACTCCAGTGCACGCTGATGGTCTGGAGCACACACAGGTGCCAGAAACAAAACACTCCCCTTCACTTGTAGTGCTCTTATTGTTGCATCTAATTGAAAACATGAAGAAAACACCTCTGTGGATTTATCACTCCAGGAAGATGTGGTACCATGCCATGGAGCCTCAAAAAACTCTTCTAGGCTTAAAATAAATGTTAGGACATCTATGATATTTGTATTATAGTCAAATCCTATGCTCCTGTGCTCCCCCCCCCCCACTTAAAAAAAAGAAAGAATAAAAGACACTGTTCCAATGATCAACTGCTTCATTGTCTTAAAACGTTTCTATTTTAGGTACATTTTAGAAATATTTGCCAGTGAACTAAAAAGATTTTGACATTTATACCTTCCTTAGGTGTAAGCTGTGATTGCATCCTCAGCAACTTCAGAACTAGCAACTTTCAACTGTTTCCCTGGTCATTCAGTCTGTAAGACTCGGTGCCTGTTAGGGACATGGTCATCTCAGCCTCCTGTCCTAGTGATCTTATTGTGCAGCTTGTACAGAAATGTCTGTGCTGATTGACACTCAGACTGTCTGTGCACTGCCTTACTGTGTCTAGCACGTGTGACGTAACACAGGCTTTTAGATGTTTTGTTATGAAACGGCTTCTTTATAAATCTCTTCATTACTCATTTTTGTTCTCAAAAAGCTCTTTAATTGAAACTGTTGTTTCCAGATCTCACTGTCTGCTCTGCCCCACCTGTGCCCCCAGGGCTGGTGGCTGCACTGTTACCTAGCACCTAGAGCCCTGCTCCCGAAGTCCTTCTCCTGAGTGTGAGGCATACTCTCTGGAAGCTGCTTCCCTCCCCCAGCCCCTGTGAAGCTGTGGATCCTTGAAATACAAATGATAAAATATAGATCTCATACCTGACATTTTAAGTTAATTAAGTATTTTTCTTGATACTTTACATATTGAAATTTTTCAAGACAACAGTATAGAAAGATTTTTACTTTAGAGGTTGGCAAAAGGCAACATAGCATTTTATAGTAGAAGGTGTAAAAGTGGGACAATGCTTTATTTTTATGATTTTTTTAACTTCTTTATTCTAATTAAGAAACACAATTTTTTAAACTACATTTAACTACCTTTATATCCTAAACTTAAAAGTAAATATTTGTTCTTTGTTTTATTTTTGTTTTTCCCTGAGCTTGAAAACAATCAGGAATAATTCTCAAAAAAAAAATTGGCTTTAAAAATATTTTATCCTGTTGTATTTTGTTCAGATTACTTGGGAAGTAGTACAGAGGAGAAGAGACTATAAAACCCATTTATTTTTATTTGCTAGAGAAAGCTGCTGTTTTCCACTGGCAGATACATGAACAAGTAGCAAGGCCCTTTCTCAATGACAATAATTTTTTGCTTTGAAGCTTATAAATCCAATGACACACCATCCCTGGCCATACTGTTGATACTCTCTCATGAAACCTCAGCTATTCAGTCCTGAATATTCAGTCTCTCTTATTGTTTAATTTGGAGAAACCTCCTCTTGGTAGATTCAATGCCTGGTCTCCTTTGTTGTAAAATTAAACAGTTAAGTTCTGCATCAGTTTATCTGCACTGTGACTAAATCACTTCAGACTTGCTGAGTTTTGAGTCATCTTTAGAAATGGTGATTCCTCTTTCTGCATCTGATTTTAAGTGCAAATGTTTTTGTCACAGTCCATGCCTGAAGAGAAAGACTGGTGGGAGCAAGGTGGGAGGGACAGCTCTGTGGTGACAGGAGGGGCTGTTTGTGGGAATGACACAACACCAGAAAATGACCTGGGGAGACAGGGAGGGGGCTCTTAGAGTAAGCCAAATAGAAGGGGACAGACTCCCGATGCACTTTGCAGGTCACAGGACTCCATAACATACTGTGCATGCCCCTGGGAGACAGGCCTCAAGGGCATGCCAGCCGACACTCCACCCCCACCCCCACTGCCACCCCTGGCTGCTAGGTCTTTGTGCGCCCCCTGCTCTGATGCTCCCAGGCTTTTGCTGCAACCGAGGAGCCAAAGTTTGAGGCTTGAAATGTAGAAGAAAAGCCAGGGAGAAACAGATTGGAGGGGAAATCAAAGTTCTGTCCACCGTATGTTATAATGTGATATCCCAGATTGATGACACTCTAGAAGTACCTTCAGGAAATTTTTTAGGAACTTTAGTCAAATAACAGTGATGCCAGAGACATTCCAGATAGAAACATTTCCTGGTTGTTTCACATAAGGAGACACAGATCTTCCCAACTTATATGTCCTGTATCTAGTGGTGAATCAGCAACATTTTCTTAGCCCGGAGGGGATGATATCAGGGTCTGTCAGCTCAGTACTATGACATTTAGATGGGGTGATCCTGGGTGGTTTGTTTGTTTTGTTCTAGACAGTGGGCAGTACCCTATAGGATGTTTAGCAGCATCCCTAGTCCACGAGATGCCAGCTGTGGAAACCACGAACCTCACGACAGCCCAGAGAGCCTTGGGGACAAGATCATTCCCAGTTGGACCACAGGCTTGCGCTAAGCAACAGAACTCTCTCCGTGAGGCCAGGGGTGGCAGGACGGCACTGAGCCGTGCACTTGTCAAGTTCTTTACCTTGTACTCTCAGGACAGGTAGGAAATTCTAAAAGTCTGCTGCCTGTTTCTGATAGAACAGGCAAGCGTTCTGAATTCATGTCTGACTTAAATGTCAACAAAGCCATGTAGCCAAGTCACTTGATGCTGGACCGCAGCCTCTTGTGAACCCACTAACTAGATCTCTGAATCGTGCAACCCTTCTTCGTTTCCAAGACTTTTAAATGGAACAAAAATTGGATTTTGTCATCATTCTTGGGTTTTATTGATACATGCCTGTTCCATTCTTTTAGTTCTCTCACCATCTCTAATTTAACCACAAGTGGCTAAGGGCGAGGGGTACAGTACAACAAAGGTTCCGAGCCCACGGCCACCGGCTCATTGCTGCGTCTCTCTCCAGCTGCACTGCTACCCTGAGACATAGTGTGATGGCATTTTTGCTTTGCCTCTGACAAAACTGAAACAAAGATAAGTGTCTTTCAGAAGGTCATGTAACTAAAAAGTAACAGGACCAGGATGGGAGGACCAGGATGAGAGCACCAGCCACCGTGCCCCTGGCTGTGGCCACCAGTGGATTTTCTACAGAGCACTAGGCTACAGTCAGGTCCTTGGTCACAAACCATACCTTTTGGTCTTCACCTGTCATCTTCAAAGTACCTGCTTTGGCCAGAAACATAGACCATGAGTGTAACTCCATCACTTGGAACGGTTCAGAGGACTGATAGGAAAGTTCAGTGACTACAGCGCATGTCCCACAGTTACAGATGACAGACTCAGTACAAACAACCCAGGTTTGTCATCTTTAGGCTGATAGAGGCCTCAGGGAGCTCCTCCTCTGGGACCTGGGGCATGTCCATTTCCTTGCCCTTCCCAGCTCCTGAGGCCACCCATGTTTCCTGGCTGTGACTCTCCCCACGGCCACCTGCAAAGTCAGTGCCACTGCATCTCACTGACCACTCACAGCGTCCAGGCTGATGCCCAACCTTTCCCTGACTTGGGCCTCCCGGGATTCCCTACCTCAGCCTCTTAAGACCTTTTCACAAGGTGAAGAGCACATTAGTCATGGCTTCATTCTTAACGCATTCCAGTCTGAGTCAGCGAAACGCCTGTACCCACCACAGGGACCCTTGGGGGCCCTCAGAGTGGGTGGTGAAGACAGGCGCCCTCACCAGCTCTAGTGAGGTTCTGAGGCACTCTAGTGCTTGCCAGCGATGTATTTGATAGGTGATGCAATAGTAACTGACCTCAGGGTTCTAGACAGGAATTAATGATGTCCATTAAAGCTTTCCACTTAGGACTACTCCCGGAGGCGTTTTAAATGACTAGAGGACATGGAAGAACCAATCACCCCCTTTTATGAATCTTATTCATCCAGGCTGTCCAGATTCTCTCAGGTTGTTTCCCTGTGTAGACAGGCAGAAAATTGGACTGTGTCTTGTTCCCAATGATATTTGTAAGTTTTTATTTACATTTAACAGAGAACCTTGAATTAAAATCAGTCACTGAGGTGTCTAAATCTGTATTAACTGAAAAAGCCAAGTTAAAAACTGCCACTTTCTATAAACGTTTATAATTTGAACTTTAAAAAGAGCTATGAATTAATAAACTTCTGAATGTAAAGGTGATAAATTCAACAGTAAGACAATTAAATAGCAATGATATTAGTAATAAAGCTCACTTGTTGAACAACTGCATGCTGACCCTTTGCTCATTCCATCCTCACAGCCCTGAAAGACAGCTCAGGTCTTTTTACAGCTTAAGACAGGACTCCCAGGGCTGAGCGTGTGCCAGACACCTCAGAACTGGTGAATGCTGGCGGTCTGAAGTTTTGTGTCTCTTCACTGTTCTTACTCACTAATGTGAATACATTTTAATGTTTTCTTTTGAATTTTGGGGGAAAAAAATGACCCAGAGCTGTGTGTGTATGTAGCTCAATGGTAAGATTCTTGCCTAGCATGCATGAGACCCTGAGTTTAGTGCCTGCACTGCAAAAAAAAATAAATGACCCCAGAGACTTTGAGAAATTTAAGCAATGAAATTTTGTTCTTCAACATACAATATTTCAAAATGGCATTTGAATAGTTATCTAAATTTCTAATATAATTATGACTCTTATTAAGATGTTTTGTGAAGATAATTAGGGTAAACAAATGTGACATCATTTTCAATTGCCTATTTCAGGTACAAGGTTAACTACTTATATTAAAACTTCAGATCCTTGAAGTATTGAATAGCTAAGTAGCTCCTTCAAGTTTTGACAAAACAAAACAAAACCCAAGCAAAAGCCGTCCAAGATAGACAGATCAATCAGGGGGCACATAACTAAGGAACACTAAACATTCGAAAGTCTAATGAGCTAAGAGTTCTCTACATATTTTAATTGATGCTATTTATGTTCCAGGAGATGAGTATGACGTCTGTGCCATTTGTTTGGATGACTATGAAGATGGAGACAAGCTCAGAGTCCTTCCCTGTTCCCATGGTAGGGGTAATTACTGCTTTAACTTGGCACATAAAGGGGGTTTTATAGCTGGGTTCAGTGTTGCAGGGCGGGGACGCAGTTGTTAGTGCACCCTTAGGCAGGCTCTGCACTAGTTATCTGTCCCACTGAAGGTATTCTCTTTCTCTTGTCCCTACACGAGAGCACAGATCACAACATTGAATACACCTGATGGGGGACGGAGTGGTGTTCCCAGCCATAGCATGCTAACTGAAGACATGCATTTTGTTTCAACAGCTTACCACTGCAAATGTGTAGACCCCTGGCTCACTAAAACCAAAAAAACCTGTCCCGTCTGCAAGCAGAAAGTCGTTCCTTCTCAAGGTGACTCAGACTCTGACACAGACAGCAGTCAAGAGGAAAACGAAGTGTCAGAGCACACCCCCTTGCTGAGACCTTTGGCTTCTGTCAGTGCTCAGTCATTTGGGGCTTTGTCGGAATCCCACTCTCATCAGAACATGACAGAGTCTTCAGACTATGAGGACGAGGACAACGAAGATACTGACAGCAGTGACGCAGAGAACGAAATCAACGAGCACAGTGTTGTGGTCCAGCTGCAGGCCAATGGAGACCGGGATTACAACATAGCCAACACCGTCTGACTTTCGGAGGTGACTGGTTGATTATTTCCCTTGAAATGTTTACTTAGGTATGTAATTTGATTTTTTGCTCCCTTTAGAGGTTTCTGTAGAATTAACTTATTTTCTAGCGTTCTAGTTTAATCAGATTACTGAAACAGGCTTTTGATCGGTACTTATCTGCAGGAGTGTGCTTCCTTTCACTAATAACAGACTGGTGCTGTCACTCAGGCATCAAATGAGCTCTTTGGGGATGAAATTTAGCCAAAACATTAAAAAAAAATCTCAATATAGCTTGCAATTAAGACATAGATCACAGTATGCAAATGTTTTGTGCTTTACACATGAAGTCAGTCCTGCAGCCATCTAGCTCAAGCTAAGCCAACTCTCACCTCCACAAACAGTTATAAGTAGGTTGAGTTGGAATGTGTATTTTGGTGTTCCCTCAGATCGCCATCATTAGTGAAATGCAACAAAGTAACTTAGTATTTTTCCTCCTGTCACCACAAACTCTGAAGCTGTTTTTTGCTTTCCTATTCCCAAGTAGTCTGATCCTGATAGGAAAGTCTATAACCAGTGCAGATTTTAAGTTTTTTTTTTTTTTTTTTTTTTTAAGGGTTTAATACTATAGTGTTATGTACAAATTTGAATCAACAGTGAAGGTAATGTCTTTGGACTTTACTTACTGGATTTCAGTATCCTTAAGGGTTTTGTGTTGTGATCAAAGCAAAAGGAAAACGCTGCATAAAAATACCAAACTTCAGCAACTATTAACTCAGATCATATACCTCTTAATAAAGAGCATCTTATGCTAACTAGCCCTGCGAAACTATGTACAGAGAAATTGTTCAAGTATTGAATTCGAAAATAAGTGCTTATGTTTAACAGAACTAATGTATTGAAACAATGTATTATGAAAAGGTAAATTATATTATATATCACTGTAACTATATGTAGAAAATATAGACTTCTGTATAATCAAAATGCTAAGAATTTTTATACGGCCTTGTATGAGAGGTATTTGAATGTTAATAAACATGTTTTCCACTTTAAGAATAAGTAGATGTTTGTTCTGCTGTGCTACTTCTTACCACATTAGCCTTATTTACATGTCCAGTACTGTAAAACTAAAGGGATAATGACTGAGGTCTGATCAACACACATCACTTAGAATGTTGTATAGTGTGATGCTCGCAGCATTTAGGTTAATCCATGAAAACACTAAAACCACAGCCAAAAATCATTCCAAAAATTAAGTGTATATTATGGTAATGTTATAAACTATGTGCATCTTTGCAATAGACATACCTACCAACATGGGAAACTACATAAAATCATGATATAGAATAATAAATACAATATAAATAACAAGCCTTTTGTTAAAAATTATGTGTTTTTAAGCAAATTTAACACTAGGGAGAAATTTCACTTTCTGAATTATTTTTATTTAAAGAAATTTTCATAATCCGCAAAAACCATAACCTCCAAGTGTTCACTTTCAAAAATAAAAGGTTGAATTCAATATATACTGTCTGGATATTACCTTATCCTGAGAAGGAGGACATCTACAGATTTACCAGGGTGGTTAAGCAGAGGTTGGAATGTGGCGTAACTGTATGACCCTGGTCTTTTTAAACCTGTTCTATAGTGTGTAACTCTGTATTAGATATGGTATTCTTTTATTAGTTATTAACCCAAAATTCAGATGAAGGACATGATTCAAGTTTTTCTGGATCAAAAATTACTTTTTTTGAAATTTCAAATTAACTTTAGTTGTAAAAAAAATGTGTGCAGTGTCTTAATAGCACTGGCTAGGACTGTTACTTGTTCTTTTAATATCTATTTGAAATCTTCTATAATTTCAGTGTATGGATTAAGTTTTTTTAATAGGAGAGCAAATAAAATGTAATTTTTTTCTGATTATAAAAGTAATGTTATTGAAAACATTGGAATCAAAATAGTCACCTGGAAACTGAGCCCAGGCAGAAACGTGTGTGCATCTCCCACCTTCATAAGTATAAGTACTATGTCAGCAGATGCTATACATTACACTTTATGCCCCCTGACCCCCTGCATCCACTGGTGACCATGTTCTTGTGTCATTCCTCAATGACCATTCTGTCCTGGGGACACAAAATTCTGTGTCCAACCCATACCTCTGGTGCTGCCAAGTGTGCTTGTCCTAAGTAATGCCATGTGATGAGACATCTGATACACTAAGGTATACAGCTCCATTTCCTCATGCTGAACTCAAAGAGCTAAGTGTAAAGCAAAGTCTGCATGTATATATTTCCAAAAGTGTTCTTCTGTTGAAACTGCAGGCCATGTAATCACCACACCTAGTCACAATTTTTCATCTGCCCAATCATCTTTTGTCCTTAACAGGAATCTTAATAGAATAATAAGCTGATACCAGGTTTTTATCATTTCATAACTACTAGGGTGTGTTTAATTACCAAACTAGTCAAGTCCTGACACCCCATATGTACAGATTCAGAACTAAAGCCTGACAACTTGTCAGAGAAAAAGCTTTCCTATGTACAGTATTTTATTTTAAGTAAGGAAGAGATTATCCTATTCCCAATACACTTTCTCTCTCAAGGACAGCATGCAGTTCTGACTTTGATATCTGATGACTACTTCTGGATGCATGGAATCTCCCAGGTTAGATCCCTAGAAGCCAGAACCGACCCTGTGACAAGCTCCCCAGTTTCACTTAGATCCTCTAACTTTTGAACATCTACCGCTGTAAGTTTCTGCTTGACATTTCATAGTAGTAATGATTTATTTAAAAAGTCTAAAATTTACATCTTCACTAAACTTTAGTACATATTAGGGAATTTACAGTCTCCAGGCTTAGACTATTTTGCCATGGTCGACATGTTACTCCAAAGCTAGAGAATGCAAAAGCATCCCAATTCTCTTAAATGCTGTCAAAGCAACATCTTCTGCTCATAGGATGGAGAGTCCCAGCTGGCAGATTTTCCATCCTGCCAGCACATGTCATGTGAAGTCACATGACATTTCAACAGAGTCCACAATGTTGCAAACCCTTTTCAGTACTGAAGCCTCTTACTGCTTATTAGATTTCACATCTGGAGACCAATAGAGGAAAATGTTTTCCAGCAGATAAGTCAGTTTTCCTCACACGGCATGAGGACATCAGCCCAAAATGACTAAAGCCATTTTTTAATAGATCAAAGTTTATTAAAACAAAATGCCTAGGTACTTAATTTAATGTTTGCAGCAGACTCTGGCTTATTCTCTATATTCCTATCATGTTGAAAATCAACTGTAACAGTAAGCCGACAATTTACATAAATAACAGGAGTCTAGAGTATTTGGTTGGAATAAATTTATTTCATCTGTCTGTAAACAAGGTGTTTAATAGTTATGGCATTTTTTTAAATGCATATTAAATCAGATGAGTTAGACTGTATCCCAGATGTAACAAAGTGCAGGGAAAGAAATGGACAAATCAGCAACAAGATTTGTTTTAAATCTGTACATTATCCACAAGGCCCAAACAATAGAAGCAAATACTAGAATGTCCCTAAAGTAGTGCCATTCGAAAGAAACCCTTAATAGGTCAGTTAAAATCCATCTCACAATAGCAACAGTTCATTTTAACAATAGTATGGCACAGAATACATATGAAAAAATTCATCACAAGACAGCCAAGTCCACAATAATGCAACCTCATATAAAAACTCAAGCTGCAAATAAAAATTGGTCCTATGAAGAACAAACTGGACACACTCCAGATGGTTATGTTGGGAGACCTAATGTCCATAATGGCAGCCTTTTACAGTTTTACTAAAACAAGTAGAGCTGGTGTGCAAAGAAAAAGACAGGAACAACAATGTGAGCTATTGCGGTGATGGAATGTCCCTGGGGGTGCGTCAGTGTGGTTACTGTGAGGTCGTGGGAGGAGTGCCTTTTGCTCTTGTTTTGCAGTTGCACTCTGCACATGTCCTGCAGACACTGTGAAGAGATCTGTCTACTCAAGTGCAACCACAATACTAAAAGCAAACTATTGCAGCTCTCAACAGCTCGTCAACAAAGGGGATATTAATTGGTTAAATAAACCAGGCACTGCATAAAAGAGGATGGAAGCAAACCAAATCCCTTATGTGCAAAGGGAGGGCAAGAGAAAAGAGGAGTGAAGGAGAGATGCATGCACTTTCTCCTCCCAACCATGCGCTACAAAAGGAAGACTAAGTGAGCCAAGTAAAGCTCAAAGTGCTGAAAAGACATCGATCAAATTAGAGATTGTACAACCGGCACCTTGCTTAATATTAACTTATTTTAGTAATCAATATCCCATTAATTGCTAAGACAAAGTGATGCCCAACTTGGCATGCCCCTCCCCCCAATTTCAAGGTATCATGCAAATCATTATTGTGCTGCAATTATGTTGCCAGTAGGGGTTGGTTACATACAGTGGTTAACAGACAAATGATCATTGGGCAAATAGGAACCATGACATTAGAAAGTAGGTAAAGAAAACTAGCTACCATCTATCTAGTCTGGTAGCAGATGACCACAATTGGGGTGGCGATGCAGACAGCTGCTAGGTAGATGGGGAGAGGCTGCTTACACATCAGACCTCCTCAGGTAGAAAGCGAGCTCATAGGCTTTCTTGTTAAGTGTGCCTCCGTGGACACCTTCCTTTCCCATGACTATAACCAAGGCTGGAGTACACAGGGAAACAAAACAAAAGTGAACAGCATTACTTAAGGAGGGGCGGGCAGAAAGAAAGACACCTTTCCCCACCAACAGAGGGATACACAGGAGACACAGGTTCATACCCCATCACCCTGCATTGCTAATAAAATTTCCAGAATTAAGACTTAAGCTTACCACTAGGAAAGTTTAAGAGCAATTTCCCCTAATACTTAACAGTCTGCCTAGCAGCTAGAACCCAGAGTCTCTCAAGTATTTTGCCATTGAGTATGCCTTCTTATTCAATCCGCCTCCATGGACCCCTTCTTTTCCCATTACAAAGACCAAGACTGAAAGAGAAAGAAGAAAAGTGTTTCAAAAGAAGTGTTAATCAAGAAAGTCACATAAGTTTTAGCAGACAGATCCCTGATTAATAAGTTGACATTAAGTTAGTTTCCCATGAGCTGTCAAGCACTGAGGGCAAGTAGGTCTCCAGATGGGGACTTTCCAATCAGTGATACACCAAGAACAGAACATGGTAACTAGTACTGCAATACGGCACCCCATCTGCAGCAGCCTGATTCTACACAGTTATCTTTACACTGGTTAAGGAAAAAAAGTGACGATTTATCTTTCACTTCAGGACAAAAATTCTGATTGATATGACAAACATGTATGCCCTAAAAATATAAACTTGAAAAACTTTGGTATTTATTCACAAATTCTCCCCATATTTAAGGTTTCCTAAGTAGAAACTACTAAGTCATACAAGTGACACTGTAAATATGAATAGACATATCACTTCCAGAGGAAAATGAAAAACAATTTTAAACAGCTTTTTAGTTTCATTCAGAAGAGGCCAAATTAACAGAAGTTTTATGCATACTGATATCCTCACTTTGCTAGTCTTGTTTTTAAATGAGTCTAAATCCTGAAATAGACTATTTCTAACTAATACCAGGTTCTTTTATGATGCCATAGTGTGCAGGTATATGTCACATTTCACACTCATTGCCACTAGATGTCAGTGTGGTTCTGTGGTATGAAAATCTCTGGTTTCCTATCACGTGGTTGACTGACAGCTAATGGTTGAGAGATGTCTACTATTTCAAAGTCATCTCATTTCCCTATAAATAAATACTCAAACATCAACCCACACCAAAATAAGAGAAGCCTTTAGGGCAATCACAGGCAGCTGGCAGGACCAGGGCATTACACTACAGTGCAGCGCCAGTCCCTTCCCAGGAAGAGCTGCTCTGACGTGTGACATGCTGACATGCTAAGTCTGCCAACTGAGGCTGTGGGAGTCCTGTTTATTTAAATATTTCTACAAGTTAATACATCTAAATGTCCTTGCAAATCAATTATAAAGCATAATAAACTTCAATTTCAAAATATTTTTTTGAAAAAGAAGGATTTTTTTTTTTTAAGTGCAGTTATCTGGAGATATCAGAATTTTTGGACAAGTATAAACTAATCGTAGTTTCCTACTCTTCAGTAAATCTCAGACACACTTTAGTCTCTGGATATATTTTAGTAAATGGACAACTCATTCCAAAAAACTCATCTAATTATTTCTCACTTCCTGAGCAATGTTCCTTAAAAAAAAAAAAAGAACCAATATCAATCATGCTGCTTTATGATGAGCAAGCGAAAAAAGGACAAATGACTCAGAGGTAAAGTCTCACAGGGATGAAAATAAGCCAAACAATGGAAACTGCTCAACAACTGCACGCAGCACAGGACCATCATCTGATTTGTCCAGCGGCTGGAGAAAACTCTTCATTTTGAGTTTATGAAGAGCTGATACTAAACTACCTTTCAGAAGGAAGTGAGGATGACAGTGGCTCCGCTGCAGGGGCCACTGCTGTGACATGGGCAGACTTACAGCAGTGATTCCCTTCAGTGCCGGGCAGTTCAAGAAACCACCTTAACAGCCATTATGGACTGTCATTCAAAATGCTAAAGAAACTGCTCATGAAGTTATAATAAGGCATGCAATCTTTAACCACAAAAACACCTTGCTTACCTCTACCAGCTCTGCCGACAGCGACGTTGTATGTTGGCTCGCCACCTTGACTCTTTGTCCGGATGTCCATTGTGCAGTCGCCATCGACATATAGACTATCTCTGATCACTGAACACTTCTTTGCACCAAGAGTCAAACCGTTGGTAAAGAAGCCTTCCCGGTCTTTTCCTACAATCATATCTATTTCTACTGGCTGTCCCCCCAAAAGAGAGAAGAAAAGGAGAAACATTAAGTTGTAGTGAATTCCTGTCAGGGCTTGATCTAACAGGAAAGACTGCTAGTTTATACTACCACTACAAATCAGCCACCTTTCACTAAGTAAAAATCAAGACAATGCCTCACAGGATTACATGTTTTATATCAGTTGGCTCTCTTCTGCAGTTCAGTGTGGTCTGTGGTCTGCTAATAAAAACCAATCTATGTGAAGAATTTAAATAACGGGTAGTTGACATGAAACAAACTGCAATCTTAAAGAGTTATTTATAAACTGTATCAAGTCAGGTGGTGCTTATGTAATAATGGTTAAAATTCAGCTTCAAACATTTTGAACAACAGCTTCTCTCTCACATTCGATCAGTTACTCGGGTCATGTTGCATCAAATTTAAAGTTCCTTGAAAATCTCCGGCAATACACCCTGAGCTTAGCAGATCTGTTCACTTCCCTGCATGGAACAGCTTGAAATACCCCTGATGGTGAGAGCTTCCATCTCTAGACCTCAGCGCATTCCCAAATTCATATTTCCCTCCTATTTTTCTAGCCACTACTCCTTTTTCTCTCCAACTTCCGTTCCCCTCCCATCTCAGCAATCAGTTTTCCTTCTGGGCAAACGCAAAGAGGATTCTGTCCAGAACACCGCATTAGGCGATGGCAGAAGAAAAGAAAAGATGGAGGGAGACTGGGAGAGAAACTGAGGTAGCCACCAGACTCGGAAAGCAGAAACGTGCACTCCAACGTTCCAGGCTCGGGGAGGCGTCGCCCCCTAGAACTGCAGAGTCATAGCAGGCCCAGCCATTCCCCAGCAGCTCCGCAATCCGCGCCAGGCAGCGGGAACTCGCACACAAAGACCAGCGGGCTGCAGGCAAAGTTGGCCACCAGAGGCCGATTCCCGCGAGGATCCTGGTCCAGTGCGGGCCCAGGAGACTCCCAAAGTGCCAGTACCGAGAACTGAGTGCTGCAGCCAGCTCTTAAGCCACGTTTAGCAAAAAAAATAATTAGTACCCCCAATAAGGGACCTGGGTTCTGGCCCTAGATGGCAAGTGTGGGGCTGAGAAATCAAGGGCACGTCCCGTGCCGAACCCGATGCTGAGCCTTCGGCGGAAACGGCAGACAATGAGCGGTGCGGGAGGCTGGGCAGGCATCCCGAACCCGCGGCACCAGTCGGAACCTGCCGGTCCAGGGAGACAGGCGGGCAGCGGCGGGCTGTGCGTCAGCCCTGCCGCACCGCTGGGGAGGGAGGCCCGCGGGCGACCAGCCCTCGCCCCGTCCCCTCCGGCCACCGAAACCCCCGGCCGCTGCCACCAGGGCTCAGTTGCGTAACCGGGCTAACGGTGCAGCGACGGTCTGCTCGGGAGGAGAGTCGATGGCAGTTCGCCATCTTGGAGAATTAAAGGGAACCCGGGGCCAGAGCCGAGTCGAGATTCACGGACCCACCTACGTGGTCGGCGGCATTTGTTGCCAGCCGCCGAGGCCTGGGCACCGGGAGCCTACGCCAAGTCGCCTGGAGAACCGGGGCCCGGGCGCCAAGCGAGGGGCGGCCCGCGGGGACCCCTGCCCAGGCCCGCGCGCCCCGGCTGGCCCCCGCCCCCGCGAAGGCGAGGCCACCTCGAGGCCGCCGGGCCCTGGGCACCCGCCAGGGATAGCGCTCCCGCCCGCGCCCGCGCCCCCTCCCCCACCCATCCCGGCGCCGGCAGCGCGGGGGGCGCAGGGCGTCCCCGGCCGAGCCCTGCACGGGGCGCGCCGCACACCTGCCGGCCCGGCCCCGCGCGCCCGCGGCCAGCTCGGCCGGAGCGCGCCGGCCCGCCGCGGGGCTCACCGTGATGCTCTGGAAGACGCCCCCGGCCGTGGCCGCCCAGACGTATTTGGCGTCGCAGTAGCCGACAATGGCGGCCTCCTGGCAGCAGCCATCGCACATCAGGTTGTCCACGTAGCTCTGCCACCCGGCCATCTTCAGCCCTTCGCACTGCAGCGGGGACGGCGGCAGCAGGCGCAGCGGCGGCGGCGGCGGCGACGCGGGAGGCGGGGCGGGGGCGGGGAGGAGGCGGCTCTGCGCAGGACCGCCCGCCCCCTCCCGGGCGGCGGGGACGCGGGCGCGGCGGCGAGGGGCGGCCCGCGGCGCGCCCGGCCACCCGCCCGACCCGGCTGCGCGACCGGCGGCGGAGCTGCCTGGCGCTGGCGGCGGCGCTGGCTCCCCGGGTCCCCGGCTCCGGCTCCGGCCGCGGCGGCGCGCGTGCGTGTGATCCTTCCGCGGCGCGACCTCGGGCCCGGGCGGCGGGGCTGGAGGGGGAGCGGGCGCGGAGGGCGAGGGCCGGGGGCGCGGAGGGATATCGCAGGCCGAGGAGCCCCACGTGCGGCGGGGGCGCCGGGGCTTCTACGGCGTCGCACCCCGGGGAGGCGGCGGAGTCCCCGCCGGCCTGGGCGCGCGGTGGCTCTGATGCGGAGCCCCGAGTGGCGGCGTTGCCCTGGTGACGGGATGCGGTGGGCGGAGGGGGGGCGCACGCTCGCTCTTTGTGGTGGGAGCGGCTGGTGGCTGGTGGTCCGCGCGCACCCGAGGCGTCCCCGAGGAGCCGCACTTTCCCTGGACCCTTTGCCCCGTGGCCTTAAGGCGTCCCCGGTGGCGCGCGGCTCCCAGGAACCTGGCTGAGCCGTGCAGAGCCTGCGCCGTGGCCTCTGGGTACCAGCGGCCTCGCGTTCCGCGGATTCTTGGCCCCAGGAGCCCACTTACTGTTGCTAAGCACGGTGTGGCCAACGTGCAGACGGTTGGCAACCGGGAAAGTTACTGGTGGTCGACAACGTGACGAAGATAGAAAGAAGGCTATCCAGGAAAGGGCCCGCGAGGCAGCCTTGCGTGACTTCTGTGTTAGAAGGGCAAAGGAGTCAGAGCATCCAACTCTGTATTTACTAGGCTTAGACTCCCCGCGTGCGCCCTCCTGCCGCCGTTAGTAACTTAGGACTTGACGTCCCACAATGAGATGTCCCACTACACGGACTTCAGTTTGTACAAAAACGACCTGCCAAGTAAGGGAAAGAAGAAAGAGACAGAAGCGTTGATTCTCCACTTTAAAATCTTTGTGGAGGGCCACAATTTGTAGAATCATAGGGATGCAGTTCTGGAAAGGAAAGAACGTTGCTAAACAATCTAATTTGTTCTGAGGTTTTGAATATTTTCTGCATCCTTTGAAATGTTCTACTGCAGGGAGGAAAACAGTCCAGTAAGAGACATTCCAGGTTAGGCACCTATCAGATTGAGACAGTGTATTTGCTGGTATCCTGAAGATACAGAACACCTGCTTGGTGTAAAATGTGAGTCAAAAGTGTTTCCTCTTCGCCAGTGCTTCCACCTGACTTAGTTACACTTATTCATTCGTGTTTGCCTTTTGTGGTGGTTGTTGATGGCTTTGATTCTTGTTTCTTAGCCTGAAAGTTAATGGTGGCATCATTGTGCTAATAACATGGATCTGCTCATCAGGCTATGTCTTTAGGATTTATGCTCTTCATTTATGTATGTTCTAATCCAATAAATGTAAACAGTAAACAAAAAAGATAAAATGATAGAAAAGAAGACCTGATGATGACTTAAAGAAGTTTGTGGAAGTTGAGTTTTATTCTTTGATATACTCAGAGGTTAAGATTTTATTTCTAGACTTTGTTATCACAGAGTTGGAAATAATTGCATTTCATAATTACATTATTGGATTTAAATAGTAAAAGGAATAGATTAACTGAATTTTGGGAAATTCCTATCTCAAAAGATCCTAAAACACATCTATTGAGGAAAGCATCCTTAAAAATTTAGAATTCCTCTCATTTTCTTATATGTTTCAAGATACAGAAATGCATTTTAATTAGCTTTCTTTTCCTACATAGTGTTATTTTTCCAGGATTGGGTAGGGTAAAAATTGAGTAGCTATAGAAATATATATTCTAGGTAACAGATTAGCTGGATTTCATAGTTCAGATTCTTAGGTTATATATTCTAAGAGTCCATTTACTGTCTTTTTCAGGACTATGGTAAACTCATTCTGTGCTTATTTTCTTTAGAACTAGCATGTCACCTTATTTTTCATTTGTATATAATGATCTGTTACTGTCCTGTTTACCTATTGCTTATCATATACGTTTCAAAAAAGTATAAGACTTCAGTTTATACAAAAAGAGGTAGAATACTGACTTTTAGGAGTAATGCTGTAGGTTAAATCCAAAGGAAATCCACTGATATGGCAAGGAGGGGAGGAATTACCAACTTGTATCTTTCTCTACTTTTTTTCTGGGTAACTGGTCCCTAGAGCAATAATAGCAGTGTCCGGACAGAAATCTAGAAAAGCTGTGGCTCTGTTGGTGGTACAGATATCCAGAATGATGTGCCATGAACAATTAGTAGCATTTTAAATTTGGAGTAAGCTACTATGCATTCTTTCCAAAATTCTTTTATTCTTATTGGATTAAACAATCTGTGGAAAACTTCATTCTTGAGTACAAGTCGAGCAGTGACTGAGCCATTTAAGCCCATAAATAAATCATTTGACGTCTTAGCAAAACACCAACCAGAAGTTAAGTTGTGGTTCATACGTACTCAACTTGGTAAACATTGGAGTGTAAAGCTATACAGAGTAATGACTCAATTATAAAAACCATAACTAAGTAAATCCATGGTTACCTAAAATCTTCACCTCCACACTTTATTTTTGGAAAAGCAGATTTATCATGAAAGTAGTATCACAACGATCAAAAAAAATTAGAAATGGTGTGCTATGGCTTATGCATGTAATCCCAGCCAGCCAGGAGGCTGAGGAAGGAGATGAGTTTGAGGCCAGCCTGGGCAACAGCATGAGACCCTGTGGAAGGAAGGGGAGAGGCAGAAGAGAAAGAAAAATTAGGATGCAGAGAAAAATCACCTTAATCCCACAAGCTAATATAAATGTCATCTTTTGTACATTTTCACTCATTTACGATTTTTACCATAAAGAACAAGGAATACCCAGAATTCTGGAGTTTTTGATTTTACACTGAATCCACCCATTAGGTCTCAGCTCTTAGAATGTACTCATTTAACCTCTGAACATTCCTACATTGTCTCATGCATAGGGGATACCTCACATTCAAATCATAACAGTATCACATCTCTTTTTTTTTAAGAGAGAGAGAATTTTTAAATATTTATTTTTCAGTTTTCGGTGGACACAACATCTTTATTTTATTTTTTATGTGGTGCTGAGGATCGAACCCAGCGCCCTGCGCATGCCAGGCCAGCGCATTACCGCTTGAGCCACATCCCCAACCCTCACATCTCTTTTAATGTTAAACATTTAGCTGGGTATATGACAGTGTTTCATTTGGCTTTAATTCACATGCTCCCAGTGACAAAGGGAACATCTGTGTCATGTTTGTTGCTCATGTAGACACATTTTTTTATGAAGTGCTTGTAAAAACCTTTTCCCCTGTTTGTCATGTTTAGGACTGCAGTAGTCCACTGAATGGATATATTGCCCTGATTGAAATATCAGTTAAGAAATAATCAAAAGAAAACTTAGTTATCCATTAAACATTTTTCTAAAAGCAAGATTTAAAATATCAAAGATGGCACTTAATTTTTCTAATGTGATAGGCATCATTGGTTAGCTTATCTGGTATGCACTTTTCTTCCTTGCTAACACAATCATAAGTTTTGGGGGGAATAACAAATCTGCTTCAAAATATTCTGCAAATGCCCTTCCAGCTCAGGTGCTCATCTTAGATGGCTAGTGAGCTAGAACAGAAATTTCTTGGTGGAAAGATATATTCCCCCTAACATTTAGATAGATACAGATGTGAAGGACGGTTCAGGTATAGGCCTCCTGCCCTTGACCTGTCCTCCCCCTTGTCTGGATGTGCTGCAGCACTGGGGAAGGACAGAAGTTTGGAACTGTCCTGAATGGTGTGGAGCAGGAGGGTAGAGGGGGCCCATTAGCTCCAGGGGCTTTGCTGGCCTTACAATGCCCACCCAGACTCTGCACTTAAGTAAACCCCGTGTTCAATTAAGCTACCATCATCAGCCTATAAGTGTCACCAGGTCCTGCCCTCACCAGAACACCAACTGCACACCCAGCTCAGGACCTGAGAACTCTGAATTATCTAGTACTAGTCCCTAAGCACTTGAGAAAATTCTTTTTATTTATTACGTTGCTATTGTAATTGACCAAATTGATCACATCAGAGAAAATTGCTCCATTAATTCCGTGACAGTAATATATTAAATAGTGCCCCCAGAGGCATCGAGGGTTTTTGTACTTTCTTAAATGTCATACTGACTGATAGAGAATCCCCCAAGAAGTCTGACTCATTTTCTCTGATTTACCATGCAGAAAGGAGATTTGGGGATCACATATGGAGCATTTCAATCAAGAAAGTCACACTTGAATTTGAGAGATCTTTGTGGAATGTGAGGGGGAAGGGCGGAAAGCCTGTGCAGACATGGTAACATCAGCCTGTTATCTAATGTCTGAGAGAAATGCAGGCCCTCCCTCAAACTCCCAAAGAGAGAGTGCATCTCATTTCTCTTCATTTCATCCAGGAAGACAATAACATTTAATTAAGTAACTGTTTCCCTTAAAGTGTATTAAAAATAAAGCTTTTAAAATGTTCTGCTTTTCTCCAAAATGCTCAGCTGTCACTTCTAGGGAAAATTGTCTCTAGGTCCTCAAATATACGGATGAGCAGAGAACCCGGAGGATAAATTGACTGATGGATGTGTTGCATTTAAAAATGACTTTCAGAGTGTAGTTTAGGTGTTTTAAAGCGTCCTTTGATACTTGGAAGAAGGTCAACACCACCACCCACTGCAGTATCCTCATTCTTATTGAAAAACATCCATTCTTCTTCATGGATAGTAGATATTCCTTATATCTACTAAGATATTCCTTATAGTATCAGCATATTTCAAATCACATAGCAAGGTTGGGCTGTTGCTCCATCCAGCTGTACCTGTCCCCGTGCACTAAGGATAACAAAAGAAGATTGTGCTTCTGATTTAAAGTCTA